TCTTTGGGATTTAGAGGTAAAATCAAATTGTTTCGGAGTAAATTATTTGAAAGATTTTTCTCAATGACTCCCGAAGCGACTTGTATTCGAATGAAAAACGGCGAGCATTTTTTTTTGAAAGTTCATGAAACGTTATAAATATTTGAAATTAATTTTTTGTAGCTGTTTGATTTCTGGAAAGACTTTTCAAAAGCAAACCGACAAGTTAAAAATCTTTTTTACCTTTCTCTTTGAAAACTTACAAGAACGTTATGATATTTTATGTAAAGTTAATTATCTTGTAGTTTCTTTATTGTTCCTGAAGCAAATAACCGTTTTTTCTTGCAAAAATTAGCTTTTTCTAGCAAAATTTTATTTCGATGTTACACGATTGAGAAAAGCTAGCTCATTCCTTTTTTTCGCTATTTTTGAAAAACAGTATAAATTAAATTATTTTGGAATAAATTATCACATAGCTTTTTCTTTATGATTCCCGAAGCGATTGTGAGAATGAAAATCGGCTAGTTCATTCTTTGTTTTTATTTGTCATAAATGTCATAAATTGAAATTTTTTAGATTTGTTTGAAGCTTATTTAATGGCTCCTGATACGCCTCGGTTTTGAAAGAGCGCTCGTTATCTTTTCTTTTCTTCTTCTTTGAAGTTTTCAGAAAACGTTATATCTCCAGAATTCGAACATTCCAGTCGAGCACTCTTTCATGTTTATTCGTTCTATGAATCATATCGCCTCGCGCACGCAGCTGTAGATAAAAACGCATGTTTATAGACATTCTGCACATGATGCGGATGCATTGCGAATTGCAATGAAGAAACTGCAAGATCTTATTACTTCTGGTTTTACACGTTCTCTTTTGCTCTAAAATTACTACAGAATGCTCTAAAATCGACAAGAAATGTGATGAAGATTTTTTACAAAATTTAACCGCTCGTAAGTCGCAAAATTTATGTTTGCAAGGGGGAAAATGTTTTATGGTCCCGCGAAAACGTTATCTTTGCGTGGCTTGCAAGCGAAACCAAATGTCATGCTTCGTTGCCCCTTTATCTCACTCCCCGCAATCAAATGGGTAGCTTTCCTTATACAAACTGCTTTTCTCATTCCTGGAACGCGAGAGCCTAATATCTGCCCTCTATGGTTTTGGAAAGTGTATATCCCGCTTTTTTGATGGATTCGTTTGCTCAGTGAAATTGAATAGGGGATTGGGAGGTGTAAGTTTTGGGTATCACTTTTTTTTGCATGTATATATACTAATCCACTAAGGTTCAAGAAAATGTGCAAAATGGAAATACGTTTTGGTCGCCCGGCTCCGCCCTTTTCCCCAACTCCACCCCCTCGCTGACTAGTCCACGAATGCGGGCTTTTTAGTACTGGCGCAGAAGGGAATAGGAGGAGTGCGCTCCGCTCTTTTTCCACACACTTTCGCAACCGTTTCGCTTTCAGTGGTCAAGTCGTCTATGTTTTTCTTAGTGATCGAGGACCTCTATATATTCTTTTGTTGTGAACTTTGTATTGAGTTGATATAAGTTTACACCAAAAATTTTGAAAATTTATTCTTTTCCAGTTTTAGCAGAAATGATGTGAAGCGTTTAGATATAGGAACTCTAGCTCTCAAGGGTGCCCAAGGCAAAATTCTTTTTCAATTGCTGAAGCTAAAAATTATGTTGTTCTTCTTGCTTTTCCTTCCTGAGAGAAACCTGCTGATCGGACATTTTTACGAATTCCCATAATTTTTGGTTTTTTTGCGCACTTTGATTTTAATCCAAGTAGAACCTCTCTTCGATGAAATACCACATTTTCAAGTGTTGCAATTTTTTATTCGATTCAGAAAATTAGTTGAACCCTATACAAAGATTTTCATGTTTTTGGTGCAAGATTTGAGCCAAAAACAAAAACAATTTTCGTTTACAATATGTGGAGAAGCTTTGGAACAATGGTACATAAATCATCTGACAACTGACACAGATCTATCTGTAGTGAGGATGCTCTTAGCGTTTATGCGCTAATTGGTAGAGTTGTCTTGTAACTGATTTATCCTTTTGGAAAATACGAAGAGATTGAGCAGCTTATGACAGAAAGATGTCATGTTTTTATAACTATCGATTTCTATTTTCAGACGGCCTTTCAGTCGCAGTTTTTGAATTAAAGCAATAGAAATGACTTTATACTACTGACTTCTCGACATAAACCCATTTTCCTGGTATTCCCAAATCATAAAATAATCAACTACCTTTTGTTTGAAAAATCACATCTTTGCCTCCCTCCCCCATCCCTCCCCTCGAACGGCTTTGATGAATGGTCCATTGGGTTCTTCTATTCGGGCGGTCTACTGAAAGGAAACAGTCAATATTCCGGAGAGCGCTGCCCATCGTTTGTCAGCCCTTATGCTATTCGATCTCTTCCATTAGACATCATCTCAAGCTTATACTGCCTTATCTGCGCTTTACGGTCACATCCGCTTATCCGTTTCCAGTAAATTCTCTGTCGATATGGCATTAGCGCTTATAAATGGAAAACGAAGGTGTCGTTAAGTCATTCGTAACTAAATTTGCGCATTGCACACTATGCGCGCTATTTGACGACTTGTAGGATAGAAAGCTTTCATTTTTCTGACATTTCTCCTTCTCTTCTCTCTTTTGGTTGGATTGCATGTGTGATAGTTAGTAGTACACGTTTCTAGACATCTGGTCAGCACAAGATTTTGTTAGCTTGAAACATGTATTTCTTTTCTGCAGTTTGTCACCCTAGAAAAGGTTTTACGCAGGAACTAGTAAGGGTGTCGTCGTTTACCGCGCGCAATGTGAAGGCTCACAAATTGAACTACAGTCGATTCGAAGATACATGCAAAGAATGAGAGTCATGCGCACAATCGTAAAAAGCGGTTGTGCGACGTTTTGCTGGCAAGTTTATGCTAATGAACACCTGCTATAAGATTTACGATTTGTGTTTATGCACGACGAATTTTTCCCCTCCAACGTAAGTGCTCGTTCATATGCCCTCCCAACATTCAAGCAAAGTTTTTGCTATCTTTTCATTCTCTCTTACAGTTCCGCGTCTATCATAAAGTATGGTCGCGGAGATATGCGTGTCGATCTATGTGTCGCTCTGTATGACTCATACATGCTGTTTCGGTTTCTTTCTCTTTTTATCGTCTGAGAATACGACTTACCCCATGAATGCTTGGCCTATTTTCCATGTCATCCTCAGACTATAGCGAGTCGTTTTTTTCTAAACCGTTGTGTGGCATGTCTTGCTAATTATCTGGGAAGCATGCATTTGTAGCCGCATCGAGGCTCATATTTCTGTGACAGCTAGAATTTATTCTTTTTGCGAATAAATCTATTATATAGCCGCCATTTTTCTCTGTGGCTTATTGCTTTCCATGCATATTAGCCGGCGTTGGCTCAGTATTCTGGTTTTTCAGTTATAGCGTGGATGTAGTTTTGCGTTTAATTTATTGAGTAGGCAATATCATCAATATTGAGCTTTATGCGTCATTTTTCATCTTCTTTCATTTTCTTCAACCTTCTCGCATCAGAGTTCTATAATATTGAAATCGTGAGTTTTTGGGGTTGTTCCATGGGTCTTGAACCAACCTTTCCATGAATCCATATTTTATCCTTGCATTTTCCCGGTCACATGAGATCTGGAAGTCGGGGAAATAAATCCAATTGGCAGTCTGCATTTAGCACCGCCAAAAAGCGGATGACTTATTATCCATCATATCTCAAATCAAAAAAATCTACAATTGGGAGTTTATATTTTTTTTTCCAGAATCCATAAACTCCTCCATTTTTTTTGACGATTTGTTTGGTTTGGGATATGGCTAATGAGTCATCTGCTTTTTGGCGGTGCTAGATTGCAGAATTTGTTGTTAAATCGCAGGCGATGCAAGCTGAGAAATAACGCGCTAAAATCGTTTTTTCCGGTTATCGATTTTTGGAAGTTCTATAATGAAAATTCTCTATTTTACATGTACTTTTGTTTGTGACATCTTTTTAGTTAAGGAAATTTTGTGTGGTCAGATGTCTTCACTGATAGTTGTAATTTTTGTGGTTTTTTATTCGTTTTTTTCTCATAATAAAATCTTCATTACAATAAATGTGAAATTTCCCTATACTCTGTAAGATTATGTAGTATAATTAAATTGGTCCCTCAGCGTTTTGGACATATTTTTTATAAGTTTGTGGTGCAAGATTTATGGAAGAATCCAAATAGCTATCTCATACAAGTCAAATCCGATTTGTTCATGACTTTTGACTAGTGCGAAAAACGTTTTCGTATATTTTCGGATCTAACCTCGTATTTTCGTAATTTTTCAAAATTATATCAAACTTTTGCTTCCCATTCCGTTTTGTAGTAGTGTGGAGGTGGAAGGGAGGGGCAAATGGCTGTTCAAAGATCGAGCGATCAGTGTGATACTTTGTTCGCGTTCCTCGCATTCGATTTACACCTGTCGTATATCACGAGCGTTATGATTATATTCACAGAATATGAATAGCACATAACTGCATAAAGTTTTCGTCTGATAATTTAATTTAACCATTATTTATTGCTCCACTTAGATTGCAGGAATTTTCTCGAGAAAGAAATAATTGCGAATACAGATTTATATACCTTTACTAGAACTAGATAGAATGTATCGGCGATTTTTATCGAGTGACAGCTCCATAGGCGAAAAGAATGCACTTTTTTTTTTCGAGATATAATTCCTCATTTGGTAGCACACACCCTAATTACTCATCCTATGAAATCATTCTGTCGTTACTGATGGATAGGGAGCCGTATATGACGTTTGTCCATAGATAGTAGCACTGACAGCAGTGTGTCAGTCGTTATCAATAATCTCATTTGCACTTATGTTATTCTCTCGTAATACCGATTTTTTTCATGTGCAAACTAATTTCTTTCTTCTTCTTTTCATATGTTACTGACGTTTGTAGTAAACTTTTGCCCATGTACACGCAATTACATTTTATTTGTTTCTTCAGGACTCAGGATTTAATTTTTTCAGATTCTTCGCTGATTTTTGCGTGATTGTGAGTGGGCCGTGATTGTTGTCAATGACATTGAATTTTCTAAAACATGGAGCGGCAATACAAACCGCCTATGATCGAGTTGCCAAATCGAAAACAAATGATGAATGGTGTGTTTTACAGAAAATTAGTGATATACTCGCTCGCCGCGTCGTGTCCGCATTAGTAGTATTAGTACGGCCAGTAGTTCCGATACAGAGGGGGGTGGGCAATTGACTGGTCTGGTTGTATTCAAAATTTTCAAGAATTTCAGTTTTTCAATGCTGTACTAAAATTTTTGGATATGTTTGTTTCCAATATTTCCACTAAAAATCTGGAAAACTCCACAGAATTTTCTTGGTGTCCGTGGAATGGCCAATATCTCTATTCAAAAAAAGTTTTGTCCCCCTCCCTCACCTCAAAAAAAAATTCTTGGACCTCCACTGATACATAGGATCACTTTAGTCATATTATTTGCACGAAATACGGTAGACAGGCTGCATAGCGAGAATTACTTTTGCATTCCATCGAACAGACATCCACTTTGCTAGGTACTAATGCTTGCGGCAGTATGTTTTGGCTTCTTGCCAGCCTGAAGTGATTTTCGCATACAGCACACATCAAATCCTGTACGGACTTCCCATATTTGCTCAGCTTAGGCAAGAACCTGCATCGCATTAACGCAGTACGATTGCTGGGAAAACAAAAGTTCGCACATTTGCTCTGAGTGCCGGTTCCGTTCTATATCCCTTAGAAGGGAGATAATTCCAGTAATTGTGGACTTAAAGGGATCCAAACATGTCATTTGTTAGGGTATTTATTGCAAAATTGTTCCAGGTTTATACTCGACTATGAGGGAAACACAAATGTCATAAAAGTTGGCGAGGAAGGTGGTGAGTGTCTCTTTTTCAGTAGTATACCCTTCCAAATCTTTTGGTAGTTACTTTTATTCATTGTTTCTTTAAGAGTTGTTTTTTTTTGTTGGTATATTCTATTTTATTTTATTTTGTGCACATAAAGTGCGCTATAACAAAGCACATATAAACATATAAGTATATAAGCACATAAAGCTACAGTCGCTTCATTTCATATGATCATGTGTGTCATTGCACACACAGTTCACCTTTGGCGTCCCCATCCTGGATTCGTGGGAGAAACAAGCCTTCAGATAAGTGCTTCCAAGGTGTTCTTAGCATTTTCTCTCCTTTTTAGTTACTAGTCACCTCAAACTGATGTAGTCGATAGCAATCGGTAAGTCTTTTGCGTTTTTGCGATTGCAAATCCAGTATGAGGACGCCAAAGTGGACTGTGTGTGCAATGGCACACATGATCATATGAAATGAAGCGACTGTATAAGCAAATGAAAGTTAGAGCGTCTAATTCAACGAACTCAAAAATCTTGTGAAACCGGTTTTCAACCCATGTTTTTTGATATGGGAAGTTGTGTGTAATAGTCATCATATCACAAGCAAATCTTATTTAGCACTTTTGAATCCGCTATCTTCTCAATACTACATTTGTGATTATTGACTCCCGATTGACTTTCAGATTACGGTATCGATGAGTTTTGCACAAGTTTCAACTCGGGAAGACTGCAATACGGCGTCATTGGCGTTAGACTCGCAAAAACCTCGTTAACTAAAATTGTCCTTGTGCACTGGGTAAGTGCTGCTGGAAATGACTGCTTCGATAAAAAGTTCAAGCGGTGCACTTTTAGCAAGGCGAGGGTGTTCCATCTGCACGAGTGGCTTCAAGCACATCGCACATTGATGACGTGCGAAGATTTTTGAAGTCGGTGCATGTTGTGCATTATGCACGAAGCGAGATCGATGTTGAACCGGATGTCATTCGAAAAGAAGTTGCGAAACTACCCGCTACGCATGCGGTTACTGATGTGAGTAACGTTACGTTGGATAAACGAGTTTTGAGTGTTTATACTACGATTTTTAGGAGACAACATATTACTCGGCGCCCACGCCAGTAGGATCAGTGTATAAACCAGTCAAGCCTCATGTGGATATCAATGTAAAGGAACGGGACGAGTTTTGGGAACACCTGAGAAAAGAAGAGTCTAGGTTTGTAAATCACTCAAATGCGAATCATTCGTAACTATGTGAGCCTGCACACCATGCGCAACAACCGACGACTCTTTACTAGTAACTTGTCGGAAGTCTTTTCTAATGAAACAAACTGTGGGAGTGTGTACTAGTATAATGTACCAAAACAAAAACTAAAAGAGAGAAGAAAACAAGGAAAAGTTCTTGGAAACCAAAGAGTTTTGATCTTGAAAGTCGTGAAGTAGCGCGCGTGATGTGCAGTGTGCGTAAGTTGCAAATGATCCGTCCTTATCTATCTTGGATGATCAGCAAGTACCCTTGTACAGTAAAAATATTCATTGCAGCAACAAAGGAGAAAATGGAGTGGAAGAGAGAAAACGAGTGGAATCAGCCGAACGAGAGATTCGGGAATCCCGAAAGGCTGACGAAAAGCCGCGAAAGGAAGAACATGGCACAAAGTCTGTCGGAACATGGTAGGTGATTTTGACGATCTTCACACTTACAAATTATTTTGAAAAATTTATCTCTTTAGGAACAATAATACGCAAAAGCCCCAAAAGTTTGGAGCTGCGACCGCTGCTTCAACTCTAAGTAACGCTGGTCATCATGATGAAATACGCACCGTAATCAAAAATGCCAATCCGATGGAAAAACCTCATAGGACTGTGGTAACTGGGCCTAGCAAACTACGATCTGATCGGCTAGGAATGTTTGAAAAGAAAGGTGAGAGAAATCCCGCTCTGTTTCCTGTATCGAAGCTCAGCTTTAGTTTACAGATGAGGTTATCCCTAGTCCAACAGTAAAACCAGCTCCATTCCATAGCCAAAATGTGAAGAAAACGGATTCGTTCCAACCATTAGCTTCCCCAGTGCTTTCATCAGGTACCGTAGCCTCTATATTTTGTTCTTCAGTACACCTTTTGTTCCATTGGTGTAACTCTGTTTGCTTTAGGAACTGTGTCTCCATCGCATGACAGCGTAAGTTCAAGTGGTGGACTCTCATCGTTTTACTCACCGAACGATTCTGGCTATGAAGCTGGCGCAAGTGGTTAGTTTTACATGGAATATAGCACGTTTCATTTTTTGCGTTTAACTGTTGCGTAATCTGTAAAGATATAATTTTCTAGAGTCCCCCAAACCACATGATTATCACGCTCCTTACGAACCACAAACTTCTATTCCTAGTGAACCACAAACTTCTATTTCGACAAATAGTAAGTACATTTGAACTGGGTTATTTTTTTTCACCACAACTTCTTCCTCTCCTTTGTCCCTCATTTTTTTCTTTCATTGTAGAGTTCAAATCTTCAGCTAGTACTCGTGATGAGGAACCAGAAGAACCTAAAGTTCCTTACGGAGCCAAAAACTCGAGTGAGTTCGGACAAATTCAATGCCAAACGGCGTTATCAGTCGAAAATGCGCAAGTAGACAGTTCAAAGCTTATTTACATTCGAAGAACTGTTCTTTGAACTTCATTTATTCTTGTTTAGTTCAAAGTTCAATCAATTTTTTAGTTGTGAAGAGTTGTTATAGCACATATCACTGTTTCTCACAAAAGTCAAGAATAATTTTCTGTTATTTTCAGATAAAATATCGCTGTATGACACACCACCCGAGGTACCTGACATATCTAAAGGTTTAAGTGCCATCGCTTTGTGGGATTATCAAGCCGGTTCGTTTACACTAAGTCACTTACTCAAGATATAAACCGCTTACTTTCAATTCTTGATCATTCACACATTATTTAGCTGACAGCACAGAAATCTCGTTTGATCCAGATGATTATATCACGGAAATAGATCAGGTTAGCCAACAAAAAGTCATCTTTTCATATGACCTTAATTAAAGAAAATTTTTTAGATTGATCCCGGATGGTGGAGAGGACGAGGTCCGAATGGTGATGTCGGACTATTCCCAGCAAACTACGTAAAGCTGCTCTAACTTATGTGACTCGCTTTCCAAATGCTCATTTTCCATAATTTTCTCATGTTTTCTACTTTCCTAGCTTATTGACATTTCTTGTGATATTTGTGATGGTTGTGTTAGCATTCCTAACTACGATTCACATTCTTCTGTTTGTAAGCGTTAAGAATACATCAAAACTGGGAGCTTTCTTGTCATGTTCGCTTTTTTTTGTAAAACTGTCATTAGTCATCAATACTTATCTGCCCGAGTGATTGCGCTCTACTAGTTTCAAAGCTATATATGTTAATTTGCTATGTATTGTGCCATTTTCTAGATTTTATATCCACAGCTTATGTACGGTGGCGGTAGATTTCAACTACTAATAACTTTTTATCATAAAAAGTTTTATTATTTCTGTCTGACAGTAGCAATATGGTGCAAAAGAATGCCTAGAAAAATAAATAATTTTGTTCAATAGCAAAGCTTTTTTTGTATAAAGTGACTCACCCGCAACAACAGAAACGTTCAAAGAATTGATGCTTGTTTTTCTCATGCTCGGCGAAGTGATGGTCAACAAAACGTCGCAGTTAGTCATCACTTCATTCGAAACTCCCGACCCTTCATCCCCTGAATCAACAAGATTAATGTCAATAATTTACTCAGCTTCAAGATAATCAACAAAAATGTTTGAAAAAATGCAAACATATTTGTAAAGGCACCATCCACCGCGAACCAATTGGTGAAATTTTGGGGCACGACAGGAGCCCCCTGATTGCCCAATTCGCCTGCAAAAGTTGTAGAAGCGAGAAAATTGCTCCAAGAGGTGGATGCTGCTGGAGACGCCACGCTTAAAATTGGATGATCTGAAAGCAATGAAACTAAGATTGGACTGCTCTTCACGAATATGAGCTACACAGTGGGCGGATTTTCGGTAATTTTTAATTAGACTGCGTGTAGTTTGCTTATTACAGAACACCCACGTTGGTGGGCGTGGCGACCCCTGCAGAGTCCACCTGGAACGATTTTCTAACTTCGGGACAACCCTTTTGCACTGCGCCTCAGGCAATTACTTGATTAGGGCCTCACTATTGTATTGCTTTAAAATTCACCGTTCTCGGATTTGAGTGGACAGCGCACTTGACTCTTAACATACCAAGAACAAGTACAAGTTCTTGTTCTTTTTCCACTTCCAATGCCTCTAATTCAATTGCGGGTTTGCCAAATTTTCTAGCTGAAACTGCGTCTGACGTGCCAATGAACAGCGCTCCAGCGCGCTTGAGGATCTAGGGAATCTGGTCTTTTTATTGAGTCTTTTGGGTAACTTCTGGTGAGGTACCTCATAGAAGGAAGTGAAAGAAGGTACACGAGTTACTCTGAAGCATTCCAAAGCACCACATGAGGCTTTACTCATTGCTGGAGTTATCTTTGACGGTCTGGAAGGACCTACAAATTATTCTTCAAGATAATTTATGTTTCTCCGTAAAATGCAAAAGTGAGTCAAATTTTTGTAAAAGGTTCATGCTTGTTAACATTTTTCAAAAGTTTCGTTTTTGCACCACCCAATATGATGTGTACACCAGATCTTACCCTCGCCCTTCACTGCATACTATCTGGTTGCACCCAAAAAACATTGCACTTCTTGCGATTGCTCCCAGATTTCCTGGATCCAGGACATTATCCAAGTATAACGAAGTAAGCTGCGTATCATCAACATCATGCCCAAATCTTAGTGGAGATGCATCAAGGCATATCCCCTGAACGGGGCATAAACAAGCTTAGTTCAAAATAAAATGAAAAACCGATTTTACATTATGCAGCTGAAAATCCGTGATTTTGTCAAACTGAGAATGGGTAAGTCGTCTCACGGGTAGACCTAGCACCCGAGCATGCTCCAGAATTTTCGAAATTCGTTCATCGTGATTACAACGAGACCTATAAGAATGTAAGTTAATAAGCAAATAAAGATGTTTTACCAGAAAGGTTCATACTTACCTTACACTGTCCTTGATGTACAGCCCAAAAAAGTCTCTCGTTTCATTTGCTAAAGCCTCTAGCACAGGGTATACACCAAAAACAGCCTCTCCTCGAAATTTGGGCACAGGCACATTCGAACTAGACATTCGAATCTTGGAATCGGTTTGTTTTCGTAAACCTCTTACCTTCGCAGCTCTTCAAGACTTTTTCCAGTCACTTTTGCTTTCCGATAGATCAAATTGGGACGGTTGGTCGGTGTAGAAGAACCATTAGAAGTTCCGTACAAAGTTCGCCGCGATAATGTCGGCCGTAGCGTGGGCAACACATTCATATTTTTGTTCTCTTCCATAAAAAAGTGAACTGTGAAGTGGCGACTCAAGTAGGCCGAAAAGAAAGAATTGATTCCCTTGTTAGGCACCGTTGCCAATAACAACTCGTCTTCGTAGAATTTATCTGGGCAGACAAAAAAAAAATAAAAAAACAGAAACAAGCAAGAACAAACAGTAGAAACTTCAAAAATCGGCAAAATGTTTGACAGGCGGTGACCAGATCTAGTGAACAAATAAAGCAACAAGCATCATAACAAAAGAATGCAAAATGAGAAAAAGCGCTACGAATTGAGAACTACCAACGTTACTTGGTTCATAACTTCAGAGATTTAATAATCTCCATTCCTTCCTTGATCAATGCGAACAATTCGCGGATTTCTGCCACATTCTCGCATCTCTCAATCTTTTCGCTAGCCCATTTCAGTTTTCGATCTACAGCTGATAGTGCTGCATTGTAGCCATCCACTGGACACTGGACTGCCTGCAAATTATTTGAGCTAGTATAGAGAGACTTGTTCAATCGTTGATTAGTAAGATGTGCCCAGTCGTTGAGTGGTTAAGCAATTCATTATTATTGTTATTCTATTTCTCTGTACTGCGAAATATGGTCAATCCAAATATAGCATCTGCAAAAACCAATCTGATGCAAAGCTACTGACTATATCACCAAAAAGAAAAAATGCAAAAAATAGGAAATGAGCGTAAAATACTCACAACTACGGTAGTAGCTGGAGCTTGGGTTGAAGTGCTGGGTGTCGACTCCCTAGATTTAGGCGCCGCTGCTGATATCCGTCCTTGACGATATTCATCAGCCCATTTTCGCTCTATGTCCATTATTCGAGCCTGTGGTCAAACTTGAGATTGATCAAAATTCGCTGGCTAAAAAACAACTCTTACTGCATTTCGATGTGACTCCGGTGCTTCTTCAGACACTAACAAACTGTTTCCAGGAGCAACCCCATCAGCAGTGACATCTGCAAAATGGAACCATGATTAGATATGCTATGTCTTGAAATTTTGGCACTAACCCAATGGCACTTCAGCAATCAGACGTGATCCCTCCTTAGTAGTTTCCGCAAAAAGTTCGCAAGTAACGCAGGTACGCACTCCGTTTCTATCCTCCATTAGTATGCCCTGAGATGCAAAAGATTAGAGAGGTAAGCATACAGTTACCTGGGTTAAAATCTCAGAGCTTGGCATACGTATCGAAGATGACTTACATTGCAGACTTGACAGTACGCATCGAGCATAGTCACACCTCGAAGCAGCACCTCTCCCATTCTTTTGGAGACTTCGTCACGAAACTTATCTCGTCGAGCTTGTGCTTCGGATACTTGCTCCTCAAATAAAAATATTTCAGCGCAATGTATTCAACTCTGAATTTTGTCTCAAATATTTTTTGAAGGGCGATGATATGATTTTATAACAAGCATCGAATGTAAACGAACAGGAAACCCCGCTCAAAAATATAAGGAAAAATGAGAGAAAACCTTCCAACCTCGGTAAGTTCTCTAATTCCGTTGACCGGCGCCATTTCGTCCAGATAGTTCCTAGCGCTCGGATTCGGAGCACGAGAATATTCTTCCTTACTGGCAGTTGGTTTCACTTCGGCTACGGTCTTATGGGCAAAACCACGATGGCCCATACACCCTGTAATTTTTATTTTTTGTCTTCATGTCATTGGCAATCACAGAATAAACGCGGTATGTACAAAATATACACAAATTTCGACTAAAAGCATCAGTGAGGAAAGATGAAGAGAAGATGAGTAAGCCACTGAGAAAAAAAGAATAATGCTGAGTTATGGAAGACTCTTAAGAAATTCATACTAAATGCTAGAAAGACTAGCAGTTTTGTGCAATATTGTTGATCACATTCTCCGAAACGGATGCGGAAACCGGGAAAAATCAAAAAGAGCTATCAAAAAGGTTTTGTCCAGAATTCCTGTTCGTCACCAAGCTGCATCACATAATCAAATCCCTCTCGTTTACTACTGCCATCCGAGCAGAAGGAGAATCTGGAAAAAGTATGTTGGTCGTATAGTATTATCAGAAGAGGAAAATGCCCAAATGAACATGACAATGCAACGCTAAAAGATACCTGTGATAAGAACCATCTTGGCAAATGGCAACAATAGACTGCATAGATGAGGTAGTAGCTGGAATAGCTTCACAATATAAAATAGTAAATTCAGCAAACTGATTGACAGATATGAATGTCTTCGTATCGAACCTTTTATGAAACCACAAGCCAATACTCGTGGCTCCAGCGAGATCTGCACAGAACTCCGCCGTTCTCCTTTTGTAAGCCCAACCTAGAGTAGAAACCTAATATAAGAATTCCCAAAATTGATGAACCATGTTTCCGACCTTGTGAAGTAGACCTCTTCTCGCATCGTCACTGTCACGAAGAGTAAAAATGTGGATAGTACCCTTAACATCAAAAGTTAATTTAGCAAAAACAAGGAATGATTGTGTGAGACATACTTTGTCGCTGGTAACGGCAAGAAAACTAGAGCAAGGTGAGAACTGTAAACAGTGTAAGGTGCAAGGATCAGCACCTCGGCGAAATTCCATGAGACATCGCGTCGCGATGGAATTTGTGTCAAATATTCTGAAAAAACATTATCACAGCTATATGACGATGAAGAAAAAACAGAAAAATTTTTTTGAAAAAAAAAAGGCAAATGAGGATTCAATGAGCAAAAAATAATACAGTGAATCAAACAGAAAAAACATAACTCGCACCTGATAACTGTTCCTTTAGTAGATCCAGTCGCCAAAAGCGTCGCTTGATTATTCAGGGCTAATTGAGCAATTTCAGTTAGATGAGCATCGATACCACGAGGAGAAAGCGATGCGCATTCACTCATATTATTCAAATTCACAAGCTGCACACTTCCAACCTAAACAGGCTATTTGAAAGTAATAAATGAATGGATACCACTAGCAGATACGACAGAGAATTGTATCAGCGAACACGACCGACCTTGAATCCTGGGTAGGCCAACATCTGCGAAGTGCCGTTGAAATCGCAACCAATCGCAGCCAGACCGGTAGGGTTGTATCTGACAAGAGAAGCTACCTAACTTAGCTTGGCTTTTGGCAAGGGACATATATATTCTGAATCAGCTTCAAACAACCTGATTCCAAACATGCTATTCCGCGCACCAGTCTGAAACAATTTATGAGCTTTTCCTGTGCAAAATTGACATATTCATCGAATTACTGGCATCACGTCGTTACCATCTTAGTGCTAGTACATTTTCGTTGAGCTTCTTCTTAGTGAGAGAAGATTAGATTTATGTTATTCCGATATTTCAACATTCTTTCTCGCAAATTTCTATTCACAGGCTATCTTTCCATGTCAGAACATGCCAATTTTGGCAGGGAAAAAGCCCATAACTTGCTTCGGAGTGGTGCTCGGCAACTAGGAATAGCATTTTGGGAATCAGCGCTCGAAGTTGATTCAGAATATGTATGGTTCTTGCCAAAAGGCCGAGCCAAGTTGGGTAGCATTCCTTATGAGATTATTGAAGTTACAAAGAAATACTAGCAAAAACAGGAGAAAGTACCTTATTTCTTCTGTTCTAATCAGCTTGCAGGGGTTAGGAAATTGAAAAACATGTATCCGCTTCTCTTGCAAAACTATTAACTTAGAATATGCTAGCAGTACATTCACGATCGGACCTCCGGCCACTGTGATCTAGATTTAATGGGGAATTAAGATCATAGGTAAACACAAAAGAAAATAGGTTACTACCTCAAGAACAAGCTCTTGTTGTTTATCATCCCAAACCATTACTGTATTGGAAGGATATTTTGCATAACTTCCACCTCCAACAAAAACAATGATGTTAGATCGATGTAATATGCCCGTAATCTGTAAAAAAAAAGCATTGAATATGAAATCCGATCTAAACCTTCTTACTTTGACACCGCCAACTTCTTCCCTACTAAAGCTCCTCAAAAGCACAGCCGGATGAGAGTTGAAAAGTCGTATACCAGAATCTGTGGAGACGGCGAAACAATCTTGCTGCGCATTGAAACAGGAGCTATGGACCTTTGAAGCGGCCGGATTCATCCTGCAACGGTTTTTTTGCAACAATAACAAAGAATGTGCAGCCTTGCGTTGCGGATGAAAACAACCGAGAGAAGACAAAGCAAAGATACATTAGAAAACGACCGAAGTCTGTATTCTCTATTCTTCCTTGGTTAAAAAGAAAGAGAAGCTGAAAAAATGAACAGAAGATGCTGTAAAAATGGAAAAGTATGCACTGATCTGCAGATTTCAGCTGACGCTCATGACAATTTCGCAAGTTTACAAAGTGTCAAAGTATTATAAGGTTGGACGATTTTGAAGTCACGAGACAACAATGTGAGTTCTCAAGCCTATTCTAGTACTTTACCACAAGCAATCCAATTCATATGATAAAAAAATCCTTATAACTTTGTAGTGGACCATATTTTCTACCACATTCAGAGCGCTTCCATAGTATTTGGAGGGATTATGAGCATGATTTGACTGTTTTTTCTGCATTCGGCGAGTTCTCAAATTAAGTCTTGTTGACAGTCTGCAGTAGAGGCAGCAGCCGCGTCGCGAGTTGATGACGTTGCGGATTTTGAAGTAGAGCACCATGCGCCTTTGCTTTAAAATTGTGCCATTTTCGGTTGTGTAATGCTGTTTGTTTATTTTACATTTGAAGACTTTCGCAGAGCATTTAGCGGTGCTTCTAATTATAAACTGTTATGCTCATTCATGCAATCGAAACTGTCGACTCATTGCTGCGTTTCGTTCTTATAAGTGGAGTTTTGCAATTTCGCAACACGCTGGCCGTGTGCCAAGCACGCGGGGCGGAGCTTTTGTGAGGCGCGTGCTTGGCACTGTTTTGACCATTCCGGTCTTTCGTCAGCTTAGGAGAGGCACTCTTCATGCTCTGTCTCCTATTAAGAAGAAAAGAGGAGTTATCGCTCGAGTATAGAAGCTAAGATACGCTGATTCATGGAGTGTACAAGTTGGTAGGCATGATGTCTTCCTCATACCTCTTGAGGTTTGTTTGTATTGAAAGAATAGCGGTCACCTTTGGTTCGTATAGAACGATCATGGCGGAATGTTAATACTTACCAAAATAGGGTACAAGTGATTGTGTTGTCATATGTACAAATGTTCCTTATGCATAGACTTTCGACTTGTCTTGTGTAATTTCTGGTTCAAATAGAGGAGGTCACCTCAAGCAGGAAGCAGTTTCTCGGCCTCGATTAGAGCTTTCGATCAGTGCTCCATAGCGATTGTGGGACGTTGCAGACTTACAGCTTTTCTCAGTGACGACTTCCTAGATAGAAGTATACTTGCTTCATAGCTGTTGTTGAGTCAGCTTCATAGACAGACTTAAATGGCGGAATATCTGTCTGTGCCAGACTACATATCTGCACCGTCTCGCTCACCACAAGGATGCTAGCTGATATCATCAGATGTCGACCCAACCACGGGTAGCGGCTATGCTTAGTTGAGATAATCTCAATGCCGTATGTCGAGATGTTCCTCGGACCCATTCGGGGAATTTGATTGTGCGCCGGTGTTAGTTTTGCGACCCTTGGTGTTGAAATGCAAGTTGGACTCAGGTTTCTTGAAGCCTAGCTGGTAGTGGATCTTCTATCGAGGATAATGATCAACCATTGGCCATTTGTAGAAGTTGAGAAACAACTGTGAACTTGGGAAATAAGTCAGCCGTTTCTTGAAGCCGATATGTCCCGGGATTCCGATCCAGGAGTTGGCGAGTGAGTTGAGGCTTTATACGTTTACAAGTCTAGCCGGACGATGGCAAGTTAGTTACCGGCTTTCTGAAGCTGGTCTTGGATCTTGTTCCAGAAGGGGATAGCACCGATACAGTGCTGGCCAAAACTATAGATCCACTTTAAAAAACTGCCGTAGTTCATCTGCTTTTCAACGAATTGATCTGAAATTTGGTACAGCTATGTGTTCAACAGGCTTCCATCAGTGACCGGAGCGGATCCCGCTTTCGTTAGATTATTCAGGAGAAAAATCAAAAATTTCGAAAAAAGCAGGCTCGAAGGTTGGCCAAAACTATAGATCCACCTAAAATTTTTGTCTGCTAAAGTAAATCTCGGCTTCCGAAGTCTTTTGTGCATATACATAGTCAAAAGTCAAAGCAGTGGCTTTAGTCCAGCTGCCACATACTTCAATAAGAAACGCTTATCTGCTCTTTTTACTTAAAAAATACTTTTATGCGTATTTTGTTCCCGAGAATGTGTTTTTATGGCTAATTTCGCATTTTCTTGACTGGTTTAGAAGCGATAGGTCTCCATGTATCTTACAGATGCTCAGCAGTGTGAGCAGTAGAAAAAAATTCGAGTTTTCGTATTCAAAGCGCACCCGACATAGACTTAGCCGCGGGCCTTCGCTCGAATTTTTTCCTTCAAACTCTTTCTGGAATGTCATGAGCGTGAACTGGAGTAATGACATTGTTGGTATGTATTAGAGTGCGTATGCAGTGGTTGCAGGTCTATGCAGATCCCATTATGCATGCCAACTGAGGACTTCATCCTGCAAAAAAGTGATTTGCAACAAGCCTCAAAGTTATTTCTGGTTCTGATCATAATGCTTATGTGAGTCACCAGACAACATACAGTAGAGGGTGTATTCACTAATTAGCAGCTAAACAATGGCAAAATTCAAGCAAGGTACCATTTAGTAAGTACTTTGAGATTGCCGAACACACCGTAAGACTTATGCTTTGAAAAGGTGTTGAAATGCGACTTCGCGAACAATCGTGACTATGACTTGCAAACTTCTTTTGTGTAAATAATGCTAAATAATGTTTCTACATTATTTTGAGCTTGCAAAAATAGCGTACACCAATTTTGAAGGCAAAAATTCGAGCGCAGGCCCGCGGCTAAGTCTATGTCGGGTGCGCTTTGAATACGAAAACTCGAATTTTTTTCTACTGCTCACACTGCTGAGCATCTATAAGATAGATGGAGACCTATCGCTTCTAAACCAGTCAAGAAACTGCGAAATTAGCCATAAAAACACATTCTCGGGAACAAAATACGCGTGAAAGTATTTTTTAAGTAAAAAGAGCAGATAAGCGTTTCTTATTGAAGTATGTGGCAGCTGGACTAAAGCCACTGCTTTGACTTTCGACTATGTATATGCACAAAAGACTTTGGAAGTCGAGAATTACTTTAGCGGACAAAAATTTTAGGTGGATCTATAGTTTTGGCCAACCTTCGAGCCTGCTTTTTTCGAAATTTTTGATTTTTCTCCTGAATAATCTAACGAAAGCGGGATCCGCTCCGGTGTCACTGATGGAAGCCTGTTGAACACACAGCTGTACCAAATTACAGATCAATTCGTTAAAAAGCAGATGAACTACGGCAGTTTTTCATAGTGGATCTATAGTTTTGGCCAGCACTGTACGACCTTACACGTTGACTTTGACTTTGGCTTCGCGAAGCCTAGTGTTTCCGGATCCCGATACAGAAATGAGGGTTGATTTGTTGTTTCTTATGTAAATGGAATTCTAACCTTGACGGCCAAAGTCACACGCTGGCTTGAAACAGTTTGGATAAGGTTTTGATTGAACTCTATGGCTCGTGTTAGAAAATGTAACCATGATAAATAGAGCTGATGCCGGTTTCGTACAACCGAGGGTCCTGGACTTCGATCCAGAAGAGAGAGAGAGAGTTGATGCCGGCTTCCTGAAGCCGAGGTAGTCCTGGATCCCGATCCAGAGAAGAGAGTTGATGCCGGCTTCCTGAAGCCGAGGTAGTCCTGGATCCCGATCCAGAGAAGAGAGTTGATGCCGGCTTCCTGAAGCCGAGGTAGTCCTGGATCCCGATCCAGAGAAGAGAGTTGATGCCGGCTTCCTGAAGCCGAGGTAGTCCTGGATCCCGATCCAGAGAAGAGAGCTGATGCCGGCTTCCTGAAACCGAGGTGGTCCTGGATCCCAATCCAGAGAAGAGAGCTGATGCCGGCTTCCTGAAGCCGAGGTAGTCCTGGATCCCGATCCAGAGAAGAGGGTTGATGCGGCTTCCTGAAGCCGAGGTAGTCCTGGATCCCAATCCAGAGAAGAGAGCTGATGCCGGCTTCCTGAAGCCGAGGTAGTCCTGGATCCCGATCCAGAGAAGAGGGTTGATGCGGCTTCCTGAAGCCGAGGTAGTCCTGGATCCCAATCCAGAGAAGAGAGCTGATGCCGGCTTCCTGAAGCCGAGGTAGTCCAGGATCCCGATCCAGAGAAGAGGGTTGATGCGGCTTCCTGAAGCCGAGGTAGTCCTGGATCCCAATCCAGAGAAGGGAGTTGGGCTTGGTGAAGCCAAGGTATTCCTGGAGTCGATCCGGAGGAGAGAGTTGATGTCGGCTTCCTATAGCCGAGGTGGTCCTGGATCACGATTTAGAGAAAATAGTTGATATTTGCTTACGGAACTAGGTGGTCTTGGATCCCGATTCGGAGGAAAAGTTGATACCGGCTTTTAAAGCCATGGTGGTCCTGGATTTCGATCCAGAGGAGAGATTTGATGCTTCGTGAAGGCGAGGTGGTGATCCCTATCCCGACGAGACAGTTGATTTTGGCTCACTGGTGGTCCCAGATCCCAATTCAGAGGAAGGATCTGAGTCATAGTCTACTTTTAAGGCGTTGATAAGTCGCGGTTTTTTCAGCTGGAGAGGAGCTCGCCTTTTTGAGATTGCAATATATTCCTGTTGATGATAGGTTGTAGGCAGAGGTGGCCAATATGAAAGAGAGCTGGAGCCGGCTTTCTGAAGCTGAGGTGTACGTACTTACAAAAAGTTGATAGTGGAGGTAGTTCCTAGTATTGCCACGTTGATATTATAGTTCTGCATCTGCACGCTCGTGTGGTATCGGTAACCAACTAGGGTAACAGAAGAATGAGGTCGAGGACGCCGTGAAAGTGAGGTGTTATTGGGCTTTTTGCGGGTTTTTGAAGTTCTACTCTGCGGAAGGCAGCAGAAACTGCTGCCAGTTTTGATGGGAGAAGAGTGATGCGTATACGTCAAGGCTTTCTTCTAGAAGTGCTGCCCCCTTTTGTTGAAGCAAGTTCTCTTGCTCAAGATCAGAAAAGCGACGCACGGTCATAGTAATCATGGCGGCTTCTTGGCGCCGAAATGTAACTAGTCGCGAGGGCCTCGGAAGTAGCCGAGAATTGCGCCACACTTCTGGCTAGAACCGTATGTGCCAAATCCATATATGAGGGTTTATATTCACACATTCCCCTTCAGCAGCGGCGGATAAGTCTAAAGTGAAACGAGAACAGATGAACAAAGCTTTGAGCACGGGGCACTTAGCTTTTATGGCCAAGGGGTCTAATGACCTTAGTCTCTCATGACTCAAGGTAGCAGAAGAAATTACAGAATGGGCGTTTTCTTGTCAGCATTCCTGGCAGCATATACGAGCCACGGCGAATTTTTTCGGATCATGTGGCCAACTGGTCGTGTTTTTGTGTCATCCTTACGCTTCACTCAACAGAAGAAGTACGCAACTCATACGCAGGTGAAGCTCTGTGAAGGCAGTGCAAACTCTTGATTGGGTCTCAACAGTCGTTGTCGGTGAGATCTGCTTGAATCTAATTCATTACCACATGGTTGCGGTTGTTCGAGCTTAGTCTCGTTGCAACTATTCATTGCTTTTTGTCCGAAGCATATAGCAGTTTATGACTACACTATTGGCAACAAGCTGGCAGCGCTCTTTCAGTTTGTCAAAGGCAACTCCGTATAAGAGAATGTGATCCCGTTCACATGTACTGCTGTCTGATATCCAACGGGAAGTCTTCTACCGAGTCTTGATCAACTAAATCTCTAGAAACTGCCGTGTGTTCAACATATCGTGGGGGTTCCAATACAGATTCCATTATGTAGCTGGATATTTAATGGATACTAGTTCCATAGATATGCTATTAAGGTCGGAGGCGGCGAATTCAAACAGTGTTTGAAGAAAGCGAAGCTTGGTGAAGGTAGACGCACAATAAATGCGTACTCAGACAAAAGCAATGTTGTAGTCGCTTCCAGTTTCAGTGCTTCAGACGTTGCCAAGGTCATGGCACTGCGGCTTAACATGTTCAAGCTGGAAACTACCACAGTCCGATGATGACTGTAGCCTTTACAGCCTCATGTTTCCATGAGGACGTATGGCCCATTATAAGGGATTTCAGGTGATTGTTCTGCTAGAATGTTAGGCAATCATTAGGGTTCAGTGTGTTACATGCTCACTCAGTGATTTGTATTAAGCCTTTCGGTTCGGACCTCTGATCTTGCTCATCTGCCGTGCTTCAGACAGATATCTCGTTTTCGACGCTTTGAGCGTGGAATAGATAGAGTTCCGCCATCGACTCAAGAATTTGGAGGTCACTGTGGGTTTCATTTTCAGCCCCTTCATCAAAGCGTCTCGGAGAGAAACCTCGTTACACTCCTGCCCCCATGCCCTCGGGCTTTACCTGTTCCGCTTGTGTTGCGAAAGGGCAAAACATAGGTTTTGCCGTAGTCTATCGGAGGCAAAAGTGGAGTTTTGCAATTTCGCAACACGCTGGCCGTGTGCCAAGCACGCGGGGCGGAGCTTTTGTGAGGCGCGTGCTTGGCACTGTTTTGACCATTCCGGTCTTTCGTCAGCTTAGGACCCACCCACCCACCCGAGACGGGGCTGCTGACAGATACGGAAGCGCGCCTAAGGATGCATTTAGGTTCTTGCAGGAATTTTGGAAGGGCGAAGCAAGGCATGGCAATGATCGAGAGGAAATGGGCAAAGTTGTGTGGATTCTCATCGGAAAGGCGTTACAACGTAGATCAAGCACGACCACAAGAAGAAAGATACGTCTCATATCGTTTGTGCAGTTGAGAGCATAGCAACGCATATGTAACACTAGGTTCTACCGTCTAGATTTGATGTCAGTCGTTCCAGGGTGTTTGAGTCATTTGCTTCTTGGATTTGGTGTTCTGGATGTACCGGTAAATTAGGAGGTCGTTTCGGAGATGTTGATTGGCATTGTTCCTTGTTACATGTACAGTCCCGTCAGCAAGGGCAATATCATTGTATATGTAGGTTCTCCCGCTCCCTTACTCTCCTTCCATAATCTCATTGATCATTAGCCCACAGGGCGTTTGTTGTTCAGTTGTATCAGTGGATAATTTCTGCTGGGAGCGTTCCCAATATTATGTTCATAGCTGACGAATGAACCTTCACCCCAAGCTTGTGTTGCGAAAGGGCAAAACATAGGTTTTGCCGTAGTCTATCGGAGGCAAAAAAGATGTTTGTCATGTTTTTTTTTTCCAGTTTGAGCACCGTTCTCCTGGGACTGCTTGTGTCCTGTGCTTGGACGCATGGCCACTATACACAACATCGATGGTGGTTACATAATCTGCGCTTCTTCCAAAATCTTCCGTGCCAAACTTACCAATGAAGATCTGGACATCAGTGTGAGTTGTATACTATGCATTGTTGTTTTTACCACTGTTGTTTTCAGGAAGTTTTTGATGTAAAAGATACATGCAGCTCAGTGGTGCTATCAGCGAAAAATGGCTCACAAACGGACGCAAAAATTAAGGACTCTTTAGAATCTTGTCAGGCAAGTATCCAGTCATCTTGCTTTTTTTCGTCTCCATACTTTTCCACCAATCCATTCTTTGTTCTGCAACCTTGATATAAGAGATGATGAGATGCTTATTACGAAAAGCTAGTTTCTAGCCGTAGTAAAAGCTTTTTTTGGGGTGATGCTAGGTGAACAAGATTCCAGAGGATTGGTGTGAATTTGTAAAGAGTAAACAATACAAGTAAAGCCTCGATAGTAACAGATCGAGGCTACAATATTTGTGATCGGCACGTCTGCTAACCCCACTATGCGGCAGCCAGTTTCGAGACTGCTTCTAGAGTACACCTACCGTAACCTCACATAGTGCTAAACATTTGAAGTCCTCGTTTTTTGACAGTGTAAGGTTTCTCGATTTGATTGATTTTGTAGGTACTGTGCTCCGCCGCGTCTGATTGTGGGTCTATGCTAGCAGTCGGCACGTCAACCAAAGTAGCTTTGATCCTGGATACTACAAATTTGAAGTTGCGGAGGGCTTTCAGAATACCTAAGGCGCCCACATCGATGTGTTTCAGTAGGGTAAGTCCTGTAAGTTTGGCTTTGTGATTTTTTTTCAAGTTCTTCATTCAGGATAAATCCTACGTAGTTATCGGAGATCGAGCCGGCCATGTTTGCCGATATACAGTAGAAGCCAGTGAAAAGTCAGGTTATATAGACATGAATGGTGCGTTATAATGATCATCTTGCCAAATTTTTTCGCCGCATTTTATTACTATCAGTGTTCAGGAGAAGAATGTGATTGTGAAGGTGAACCACTAACCAGTACCATTTCTATGGTTTTGGATGTCGCCATAACTAATGATGGTAATTATCTGTTGTCTGCTGATCGTGATGAGAAGATTCGTGTTTCGAGATATCCACAGGTACGCCCTCTGCTCTATAGTCTTGTGCGCAATATCTATTCAAATTCTCACTTTTGATAATCAGTGTCTTGGTCCAATCGCTTATGATCTCCTTTTACGCTCTGTTAATCGTTGTCTGTCCCTTGTCCACAGCAGCGAGCTAACTATTTTCGGTTCTCAAGCGGGATCACGATCACTCGCGGGTAGGGAGCGAATACCGCCATTATTCTATCTCTGCGGACTATTAGTTTATTGCGGAAGTGCTTAGTGTGAACGGTAGTTCGTTGAGTTGGAGCCTGTTAGTTTTCGCTTCTATACCCAAGTGAGCTAAAGTGTCTTAGCGAAACAGTTCGAAAAGCTCACTAACAGCATCAAAACTCCAGGCCCTATCTATGTAAAATTTGGCTCATTTTTGATACCGAGTAACGTCGTCGCGCCTACGCTAGTCTTTATTGGCAATGCATAGTCGATTCCATTACCATCATCCATCGTGTCTTGTTTCTACTCGAGTCTCAGTAGCTCTATCACAGGCTTTCGTCATACAATCGTTTTGCCTTGGTCATGCTGCCTATGTTAGCTCACTTGCTCAAAATGGAAGTCGAGTGTTTTCCTGTGGTAAGGATTCTAGCAGGTACTACTCTCGGTATCCCGAATGATTTTTTGCAGGTGGTGATGGTGTTGTACATGAATGGGATATACAAAATGGTCAGTCAATTGCTCACTCTGTCAAACTGGGCGATGAGCCATTGCGGAAACTTTGTATTTCACCCATGGTGAGTAAAGTTAGTTTTAGTTTTTGTCAGATTTCGAATTTCAAATTTTAAAAGCACATGATCTTTGGCACTTTAGAGTGAATCAATTGGGATTTTTGCCATTGGTGGATGTACTATATTTCGGCTAGATGATAAGTTAAGATTAATGAAGAGCGTCAAAGCAACTAACGAAATTGTGGATATCACTGTCCAAGAAAATGAAGTTATCACTCTAAGCAAGTGAGTTTGTGTGCTCTATAGATCCAAGTTCAAAGAAGTATAATTTGGTGACTGCGCCACCTATGGAAGACTCAGGTAATTTTGCCCATAAAATGCATTGAAGGGCAAATATTTTGATTTTTAATAGCCTGGAGGTATCGATAGAAATCTTTGAGATCCTCAAAAGTTTTGATCAATTTTCACTCAGCACACTGAACACCTGAGAAAAGAGAACCCGAAGAGAATTACACTGATATAGAGCAGATCAAACTTTTTTTCTCCGATTTCCACTATTCAACTACTTCTGTATACTACTTTTTAGTGCTGGTGTTCAGTTGGTCAAGGCTGATACTGGGGATCTAAGAGATGCTACTATTACAAATGATCTTTCTGAAGCGCTCACCGCTGCCAGAGATCCGATCTCAAATTACTTCAAAAATGTTACACATCAAAATATGGTGGATTACTTCAAAAGAAAGGTGGGAATGTCTTGCACGGTGACTTTTTGTCGTATACCGATGATTTTTTGTATTTTTAGGCTGAAAAGATAGAGCACATGAGAGAGAATCAAAATCGAAAACGGAAAGCAAAAGAACTGCGTCGAAGAGAGGCGAAGAAAGTTGCCAAAGAAGCAGCGGCTTGTTGACACTTGTTACATTGTTTTTGTTGTTGATTTGTTACATTTATATTCTTGACTGTGAAGAAAGCTGAAATCTCGTTTGTTTTTAACTTCCATTTGTTCTCTTTGCTGAAAATCGTTATCTAGGTCATGCGCGTTTCGATCATGCCTGCCGCATAATTTGAGCCACTGTCGAGTGACTGCGATAATCGCAGATGCGCAGGTCGTGAATCAAACGCGAATTCATGCTCTTCGCAGAGGCGGCCGGCATCGCTTCGACGACGAGAGAGTGTGTATCGCGGAGATGACGACGACGTGCGATGGCGCTGGCAGCAGTGCATGCGCTCGGCTGAATCTCCTCGTTGCGGGCGCTATCTCCTCTGCCTTATTAGGTCCCACTCTCCATTTGTGGTGAGTTCTCTGAATGTTCGATTCGCTCCCATGCACATATACGTTTCGCGCTCTATACCTCGATGTGTAGTTACTGGTTTACGTTTCTCTGTGACTTTTTGAAGTTCTTGTTTATCAATATCACAATTCTTTTAAGATTTCGTGCTTCCATTTCAGCCTCTTTCTTCGAAAGCTGTTTTCTAGATTGTGAATCTTTCCATTCTGAGGAGTTATCTGGTGTGACCACGAACATAGAAGAAATTTAATACATCGTTATCTGTCCAGCTATTTTTTCTGTTCATCTTTTAATACGCGGTTTTGAGACAGTTTTGTAAGCAAATTTGCTTCCCAAAATCTTCTTTCGACAAGAAATAACATAACTTGCACAAGTCTCAGGCCCATATGGACTGCAATATTCACGAAATGAACTGCAGATAGAGTGATAGAGATGAGAAAATTGTAATCATAATATCGTTTGTCCGGCAGATGTTTGGCCAACTCGTTCGACTGCGATGTTGCGCCTTATCATCGCGCTGAACTCGAACACGAGTTTCGAAGCACATGAAAAGGTCGACCTTAGGACGCCTCAGCAAGGGTACTCTAAATGAGACTTTGACTATAGCCTTTTCGATAAAGGGGGAGGGGGAGGGGAGAGGAGGGGAGACCCAAACTTGCTGGTTTCACAGATGCGTACTAAAATATATTCGTGCTTCAGCCTGGATAGGCGAGCCAGTTGAAGGGAGGATTGCGTATCAAACTTCCTCCTAGGCTGAGAAGTAACAGAACTGCTTATTTTGTGCTTTGTGGACCGACATACTCGCGCCTGGACACCTTGATTCCTCCCGCTTCCCCGATGATGAGTCGCGATTTGAGACATGTGCGAAATTGGCATATGGCTTGCTTTTGCTTTTTAATAAATCTGAACTGTAAATGCAAATTTCTGAAGAAGCTCCCATTTCCCAGAAATCCGGACTTAAAGATCGAAAAAGGTCCGGTCCTGAAGAAATTCCTGCCGCGTCCTTCCCGTCTAAACATACATAGAAGTTCGAATTGGTTGTGAGGCTTTTTTTTTGAACGGTGGCTACCTCACTCCTCCTCCCCCCCACCTTACTCTTCCCATTTCTCATTGTACAATTATTCCTAACTCGCTAGAAAAATGAATTTCATGAGGGTATGGCTGCAACCATCTCTTCTGGAAAAGTTCTTATCATGCCGGCTTCTTCACTGAATAAATTTTTGATACCGCCAACGATGCACAGTAGAAGTACCATACTATGATTTTCGTTCGTAGATACATATAAATTTGCTCATTTCATCAAGGAAGATGACCGAAAACATTGAGATTTTCTCATTTTTTTTTTATAAACCTTCACAGCAGTGAGGTACCGAGGATGGTTGGGGGGGGGGGGCCTTCCCCTCAGAATCGCGAAATTCTTGGAAGTTACTTACATGGCATCCAGAAATGTGCAAATGGCTTGTTTATGCTTGTAGATAATCGAAATAATTTTTGAAATTTTTGAAAACAGTTCAGCTTTGTGAAATAATTTTTCCAGGGGCGTGGCTAACGCCACGCTTTCTTTTTCTGAAACTTCGGGTTATGGGCAAAACCATAAAAAAAAATTTTCAGGCGGCTAACGTTACGCACCCTCATCAGAAAAATTTTTTCTCGTTCTTCCCCCCCCCCCCCCCCCCGAAGGGAAATGCACTGCTTTACAGAGAATTTTGTGAACAAAAGTTTCGCAGTGATGCGACGAGACCGATTGTCTCCATCATCAGTATAGGCGATTCATCGCTCGCAAAGACAAGGCGTCACTACGGACGGTATTGGCGTCTCTCTTATTGGGCGCTCTTTGATCACTCTTGTCGTCTGCTGTCTCTCCCAGCACGAACTAGCACGATGAACCGCCGATACGGCTGTGCACTAATTTGATAGAACAAAAAAAAGAGAAAAGTACTCCACTTCAAGCTGAAGAAGCTTGAATCAAGTGGAAGACGTTTGAAGCCAGCAAAAGCACAGATCTCGGAAGCCCTGAAAGGGATTGTCTCTTTGTCTAATAATACCAGTCAAATATAAAATTCAAATTCCACAAGTAACTAAACACGGCTTAATCGTTAGCAGTTTCCTGTCTCGAAACTTAGGGGTCAAAAAGGTTTGAGGGCTGGCTCTATGTCTGATTTATTATGTAGACGAAGCCATCGATCGTTCTTCATTTTTGCCAATGGAGCTCAAATTCCAATTTGACGTCGCGCCATCGCCAGCCAAATATCGTCTCAGGGATTTGGGAAAGATGCATACAGACCTTGTAAAACCTAATTGCCACTATGTGCCTTGAACATCAGCACATGCGAGCGGTTGTCGCGAGGCACTATAGGCGGCGTTCACTCGTTAATTCTTTGTCAATATTCATGTTGTTATCAGCTTGTCATATATTTCAGCATAAGAAACTTTAAAAATTCATAAAAATACGTCCGAAGCAGGTGTGCGCCCACCTTCGGCTGTGAGTAGTCTATATTGTTTCGGAACCCGAAGCCTCCAGAAGCTCGGTTGGTGTTCAAAGCGAGGCGCGGGAATAGAATTACAAGGCCTATAGAGAGAGTTTCGACCCGCTCCAAGCGGAAGGTCGGAGGGAGTCCACCTCGCAACAGTTCGCGTCGTTTCACAGCTACAGTCTCAGACAGTCGAAGGGATACCTCCGGCGGGCAAATGGCGCGAGTCTGCCACTTCGCGCTCTGGAGCGCTCCATTTCACGCATTTTGCTGCTCCGGGGCTCAAGACTGGCGCACCTTCGGAGCAGAGATTTGCGCGTCCCGGAGAGGGGTCCCATTCATTCACCGTGACGTCACGGTGACGTCGCAAACAGGCGTTATCCACGCTAATTACGAATATCACACTTATTTCGCACGGTAGTGCCTGGTGGAGTTACGGTAGGATTACGGTAGGTGTCAAAATCATAAGTTTGCCTCAAACTTCGTCTAGGGGGGTTATTTGGCAAGCTGAACAAGGGCATCACATTGCTTTCGTACAGTAGCGCCAATTTTTCGGGTTACGATGGATAAACGGTAGATGCTTAAAAATCCCGAATTTGCTTGAAACCTTGCCTGAAGGAGTTCTTAAGCATGCTAATTTCAGATATGATGCTCGTTCGCTGCAACAATGCCTAACTGTTAGAGTCACGATGAGCTACAGTGCGTGAAAGAGCAGCTTTTCCCCTTTCCAGCCAAATTTGGATTCCAGAAATCCACGGGAAAGCTCTTCGTGCGAAATGAATGCTATATTCGTAATCAGCGTGCTTGGAAACACCTCCAGGCAAAGTTTTGAGCAAATTCGGGATTTTTAGCCATCTACCGTACACCCACCGTAACCCGAACAGTTGGCGCTACTGTACGAAATTAATATGACGCTCATGATAGGTTACCAAATAACTCCCCTAGACGAAGTTTGGGGGAAACCTGTGATTGTGACCCCCTACTGTAAACCTACCGTAACTGCACCGGACGGCACTACCGTGCGATATAAGTGTGATATTCGTAATTAGCATGCAAAACCCCTCTAGAGGAGGACCTCTCGGAGTTTGAGCAAAATCCGCGATTTTCATTTTTTGGGTCAACTAATGGAATAGCGCCAGATCTTCTGAAGGCTGCTGCAGGAAGAAGGCGCAGAAGAAGTATTGGTTGAGCGGCGCGCGACTTCACTGCGTTGTAAAAGCTGCGCCTCATGCACTTCGCGGCTAACAAAGCCGCGTGTGCTCCCATACACAATGCGCCTTCGTCGTGTAGTAGCCTATAGTTATTCTGCTCGGTCATCATCGAAATATGAATACAGACATCATTTCAGAAAATTCCATTCCATAAAATTCCAAATTTTCATTTCAAAAAAAAATGTGGAATAGTACCGAAGGTCTATAATCGAAAAGATGCAGAGGTTGTGCTTGCGGCATATTGGAGACAGAAACCTTCAAGTTTTGGTTCTAATGAGCTTATGGGAGTTCGGGCTTAGTCGCACTCTACATAAAAGCTTAGTTCCTCCCTTTTCGATAATACGCGTTAGCCGAATGTCATTCTTTCGTCTTCCATCTCATAATCTATTTCCAGAATGGCATTGGCAAGTGCGATGGACAAATTCGTTGTTGTTCGAGTGCAAGACGAACTTGCTATGAAGCTGTTGATTGATAAATTGGTAAATCATGCATTTCTAGAAAATTGTGATAACTTGTGAAATATCATCAATTATTCGGCTAGTTGACATACAACTGTAATTAGATAAGTATGATGCTTTATTCTGACAAACGTAAAATTATATAACAATTACAATCAAATGGTTCGCCACCATTTTTCAAACCTTTCTTATTCAGGACGATCTTATGCTTTCGTACAACATTTGCTCTGAGGACAATCTGAAGGCTCCCTGTGAACCATCGTGTTTTATCATAGAAGATGATAGCCCTTCTGATAGCGTTGCCCAAGCTGCTACAGCAACGGTCGAGGTTTGGATTTTTATCCTCCGAATTGTATCACTCAATTGTGCTGCATTCTAAGGTCGTACAAAGCGGTGATGAGATTGATTTGGACAAGCTACTTCAGCACACTGACGACGACGATAAATCAAAATCTTCTGACAAGCCATGGAAAAAGTACGAATCCCAGGTGTGAAACATCATATATTCGCAGATGCTTCAAGCGCATATTGAAGGCACCGTCCACCCTAGGTTGTTGAGCTTTTGGCAGCATATAGTAGTAGGCCCCTTACCAATCCAATGCCCAAGTCGAGGCGCAAAATGCCGCTTCGGAAGAGAGAAAATCGCTTCGGAATAGCGAAGATGCACGACTCCCATCCATGCCCGCACTCCCCCATTCATGCCCGCCCATTTGTGCGCGCCCATCCAATCACCGTTCCGGAAAGCCGGCCTGTGGATATCCCGGAACGGCGATTGTCGGGATTTTCGCGCATTTTCGATTTCATATTCGGAATCAGGGACATGAAAAGGCCCTGAAACGACAAAAATGTGGAAGTCGAAAGTTGGGTGGACGGTGCCTTAGGCGCATATGAATAGCGCGGCAGTGTGCCATCTTGGCTACGTTCCAAACCGCTCGCACATAGTTGTGAAACCGACACGACGCACGCGAGTTGTTCACGACAAATATTAGAAAATTGCATCTAGCCGTTTCTGAAGTTCTTTCCGTTTTTCCAGTCTATCATAAAAACAGCAGTGGCGGGACTATGACACGCCCCTGCCCCGAAGTGTATGTGTGCAAAGTTTGGTCCCGGGCGGAGCCGGGTTTGCCATCTAGTCACTTATATGGGTTACTAGATGGCTTACCCGGCTCCGCCGTATGTTCCGAATAGAAAATTCCATTTCTTAACCGATCCGGACCAAACTTGGCACACATACCCTTCGGGCCCCGGCGGGTGTCACAGTCCACTTTTCGTTATCGATCGATGTCGATTTTATCGATTTTTTGCAAAATTTGAGCTACGGGGCTGGGAGTTGGCACAGGGGGGTCATGCTCGATTACACCCCTCTGCCAAATTCCAGCCCTTTAGCTCAAATTTTGCAAAAAATCGATAAAATCGATATCGATCGATACGAAAAGTAGCCTATGACACCCGCCGGGGCCCGAAGGGAATTTTCTATTCGGAACATACGTACAGACAGACAGACAGGCATACAGACAGACATACAGACAGACAAACAGACATTCAGCTTTATATTAGGTTGGTTCATAATTAATGCACGCTTTTCCTACCTCTTCTTTCAAACGCTAGTTTTCAATCAAAAATTGTTTTTCTCTAAAACCATCTATATATCGGAAAGCTCGTTTCTTCTACTTTCAAACACACACTTTCATTTCCGGAGATCCTTGTTCAGACCGAAGTTCCATGCCTTTGAGTGTGAGGAGCTCAAACTTGAAAATTTTTGCTTTCATTCGACTTGCCCTAATTCCATGAAAAATGCTCAAATTTGTTTCAAAAAATATGTGTTATAATCGCGAAGATTTGTGCTACAAAATGCTCACCAAGGCTAGATTTGTCAGAAATCCTGAGCCGAGAAGCTTTGACTCAAACTTTGCTGAATGCTGGGATCACTCGGAGCTTTATAAAATGCTTACATGAGAAGCAATTACAGAACTTTCACTTGGTTTTGGTAGAGTAGACCAAGGACTACTAGTAATAAGAAAACGGCAGAATTTTCTCGTTCTTGAAATGAGAAAGGATTGAAGGAATCTTAAAAATACAGATTTTTGCCTTTTCTAAAATGCAGGAGAAAATGGCACTTTTGCTTTCTTGGCAATATTTTTCCCGCAGAAAATTTTTGGTAAAAGCCAAGCTCCACGCTGCTACTGAATCGACCATCGGCTACACAATGAGCAAAGTTTGATCCAATCTAGTTCCTTTGAGAGTAAGTTATGCTCCTTCAAACTAGAGCTTTCCAGAAAAAATTCTCGGTAAATTTTGAGCCGTAAAATCTTTCCCGTGATGAGTGCAATCACATAAAAGTATATGTTGTATAGCTAAAGGTTTGCTGTCTATAATGGTTTTTGTTGCGCTCAGAAAGATTGTTTTGTAAAAGAATTATCTTCATTTGAAGTGGAAGTTGAGAAAACGTGCATTAATCATGAATCAACCTAATATATAAGATAAAAATGCGCAAGTGACTTGTTTATTCTTGTCCCCTTTCGGAGTGTGTGGCTAACACCATGCACCTTCATTTAAAAAATTTTTTTGCCGTCTTCTCCCCCGGACGGAATCCTAGGACCTCCACTGAAAAACTGGTACATTGGAAATAGGCTAGCGCTATAAAATATGGCGCAGCTCTTCCTTCACTTTCAACCATCTATGTTTCTGTACTAGTTTTTCTCCTCTTTGGGAAGGGATCTTCTCCTCAACTGTGAGAGTTCCGAGGATGATGATGATTAATTTTTGAACCCAGGCTCTAACCTTGAATTTCTAGATTTCGTAGCGGTAAACGCTAATTTGCTCGATAAATTGTAGTCGATATTGGGATCCCACAAATTCTGAAGGCTTTCATTGTCTGATGCGTTGTGAGGCACAATTTGCTTGAAACAAGATTTTCAAAAAATTTTGAAATTATCCCGAAAATAATGTATAGAAAAATAGGTTATCTTAGAAATTCAAAGCACTTTGTTCACTCTATTCACCAGTCATCAAAGCACTTCCAGAAGTCTAGAATGAAAAAAACAGTAACAAAAACTTGCTAAAGTGGGACATGCTGAAATCTTTGATTCGAATTCTCGACAATCATTGTGGTGACCACAATAGTGATCACTTCAAAAACGTACTGCCGAAAAGGAGAAAAAAAGCTGCGTCGAATATTTTTTGGAGCGCTTGCCAATCTTCATTGTACTTGGTCAAAAACGGAAAGAATATTCCGAACGACCTAATAATATTGGGGAACACAAATTACTTTAACCTGAAACAAAATTTCTAGAAACAGTACGGAATTTTAGGCAAATTTCGGTTATCCCCTAAATCCCGTAAACAAGAGTTAAAATGATCACAGGAAATGATCTTACCAGTTTTGATCGTTGGGATTTTCCTATAAGATCACGGTAAGACTACGGTAGGAGGTTTTGTTGGACATCCTGGTTACGAAAAATGTGTACACTTGTCATGGTCATTTGTAATGTCCTCATCACGTTATTATGTATACGGATACGGTGTGGTCCTAAAGTGACATTTAGGATATTACCGTACTCTTTGGACATAAAGCCAAATACTCATTCAGATCTCAATGCAGTGGGATGGTTCCTTGGCCATGACGCCGGTTACACTTGGTTCAGGACGACGTAAAGTTCCTAACAACATCAAACGGTATCGCCGACAAGTTTGCAAGGTAATTTAAATATTTAACACTTTTCCCCGCTTTTTTCATTCAGAAAACTTCTGAAAAAGCCCAAGCTTTGCAGATCTGTAACTCATCAAATTCGGTGCCCTTTCTGAGGTCAAAAATGCTCCACGCAGCTACACATTCAGATTTTAAAAGGTGAAAATTCAGTTTCATATAGAAATTGATCATAATAAATTATTCAAATTTAGGTACAAGTGTCCTCACTGTGACAAGCGAGGAGCCTCTACCGCTACAGTCACTTTGCATATCAAGTCGAAACATCCAGGACAACCACCCAATGAATTCCTTGATGAAATGTATATGCTTTCAGAATCTGGGAGTTTGGACTTTGTTTTTGTAAAATGCGCATTGTTATAGGAACCAAGAAGAGTACATGAGACTGCTATTACTCACAGAAAAATGCTTCGACGACCCTTATGTGTAGCCATCGAAATGGTGAAGATGGCAACAGATTCCCCGAAAACTGAAAGTTATGACCACAGATCTCTATCTCTGGAATAAAGTTATAATCATTTGTTTAAACAAAATGTTTCGTTATACTTTGCGAGCCCTCCTTATGTAGGTGAAATCATTTCGCAACATAAATGTATCATGCAAACATCTTCTTGAAGGTAGCTGTACTCAATCAGTCGAGAAAGTTCTGGAGCTCTGAGCACATGGACTGCGCAAAAATTAGTGAGTGGGTGGAGTTGGCGCGGATGGGCGGCTCGGCTACAGCTTCGGTGCAGCATTATAGTTTGACAACAGTGACACGATTTCCGTTCGAGAGCGAGGGGCGATGGAACTTTTTTCGGAGGTCCATGACGCACAGCAAAAACTTTTTTGAAAAGATTTTCAAAATTTTTGCAGTATTGGTCACGCCCCGGGAAAGATTTATTACTAGGCTAAAATTTTTCAAGAATATCAAAGGAACAATTCTAATTATTTTCAAAACTTATTACGGAGGCATGAGTGAAAAACTCTGCTTGCAGGAGATCTTGAATGTTAATTGTGCGTTTATAAAAGGAGTAGTTATGACCTGGAGCGTATTTGGGTACGCAGATAACACAAATGGCCTCACCTATGGTACATGCTGAAAGGAGAAGGAAAAAAGAATATGCAGAAAGGTTCTTTTCTGCGTCAGATATTGAGCTTAATTTCATCTCCATTATATTCTGCAAAAAGCCTTTGTTTTGAGTGAGAATATTGCTACCTTTGCTTATTAAAGAAAGAGAATAAGCCTACACTACAAAACCGTACAAAACATATTACTCGGAATTGATCTTTTCAACTTGAAGTAAGGGTAATTTTTGGGACTGAGACATGCATCACGAATGTTTACGACTAAAGTTTTTGATGACATTCATTTTGACTACAGTTTCCCCAAACGGTATAAATTTTTGCTTTAGGCCTCGCACAGAGTTCACACGATTTGATCGTCGCGATTTAATCGCCGCGATTTTCATTCATTTTCATCTTACATTCAAAAATTTCGAGCTGGAAAAGTATCGTCGTCTGCCCGGCGAACGTTGGGCGGAGCTTTGCGAACATTTCAACACGTTGGTAAACTTGTCAAGCCTCTACTTCAAAGTATGGTTCTTTGTACTCTCTAACCTGCCACGTTTATATGCTGTTGTCACACGTGGCAGGGTTGGTAGCGAGAGATCACAAAAAACAATGCCTCGTAGTAGAGGGTTAACAAGTTCACCAACATGTTGAAATGTCCGCAAAAGCTCCGCCCAACGTACACCGGGGAGACGACAATATCACAACCGAAATGCAAGCTGATCGGCATGCAATGAACTCGTAACAGTTGTCTTGTAGCGATGAATCGCGACGATCAAATCGCGTGAACTCTGTCCGAGGCCTTACACTTTTTTAAATTGAGTTGTTAAGGTTTTTGAGTTTAAAAGACTCTTAGTTATGAATGAAGGGTACTGAGTCTGAATACTCTTTCTACTTTTGCTTTTTTTCCTTTCGTCTCGAATGTAATTTGAAAAATTATAAATATAAATACATCGCAGAGCACAATGACAAATTGCTAACGCCAACGGAAGTAATAATTTCTAATCATTACAGTCTATTCTGACTCTAAATTGTTATAACCATAAATTTCAAACATTCTTCTTCAGCAAAAACAGGAGATCTTGCTATTCTCATCACTACATTCAAAACGACCGCGCGTTGTCATAGAAACGGTAGTCAGCCATATTTCCTCTATATACCGGCTTGACTTTGTACATTCTCTTTGAATAAGCAATAGTCCAACAAAATATGGACTATTCTGAATCGCTCCTGAAGGCCATAGCTAGCATTCATTTTTATTTGAGGTAAGCGCACTAACAGTTCCATATCGTAGCGAGATAGACTAATGAGTAAATATTTTATCAGAGAGGGCTACTATGGAACGGCTCTCAAAATTTGTAATGGACCAGAAGGTGGGACACAACATGTTCAGTTTCTAAAGGGAATTGCATTGAATCTCAGCGGTAAGTGATGCTACAAATATTCGGTTTCTTGTAATGAAATATTGCTCGCCATTATTGGAAAGCGGAAGGGTCGTTACAGACCTCTACAGTATTCTGCAGAAATTAAATCTAAATGTTAATCTTGTTTTGCTGCTAAATCATCATCAGTTCGCATCATATCCAAAAACAAGAGCGTGATTTTTTTTACGCCGTCACCACCCCCTTCGCAAAAAAAACGCGTGGAATTTGCGCGAGTACGCCCTGCATGTCCCGAAAAATGCTTGCGCGCTGCGGATCGCCTTCCCTCTCGTTGACACAGACTATGTTCGTGCGTCCAATTAAAGCTCAACTTTGTCCTAACCGTCTACGCTTTCAAGTCGTTACGCATCGGACAATATTACACATGCAAGATCTTTCGAGTTATTAAACGATTTCATCAATATTTCTAGGCAAAGCAGCAGAAGCAATGCGATTGCTAGAGCCATTGAGAACAGGAGACTATGCACTTGGGGCACTTTATGCTCTGAAACAGTCACATCACATGGCAGAGAATCCTGGTTGGTAGACATCTTTTTCGGGATGATGCACCAATAAACCTGATTTAGATCGTCAATCGCTTCTCGAGATAGAATCCGAGATTTCATCGCTCAATGATGCTCCAGATTTGGGGCAATATGTAGCAGCTGAAGCGCTCTTCTTCATCAAAGATTACGCAAAAGCAAAACTACTTGTGGATAAAATCACGAAGTCTGACCCAGAAAATGCTATGGTAATCTGGTTTAAGGACTTCCTTGTTCACAAAAACTTGCACATTTATCGCAGTTCGCTTGCCTTGCTGGTTGGATAGAAATTTATTCGGGGCGTGATCAGAAGTCAACGATGGAGTTATTCGACAAAGCCATAGGCGGGCATTACTTGGATGGCTACGTGGGGAAAATGACTGTGTTGTCTTCGAGACAGCTCGCAAACGACATGAAAGCTCTAGCAAAGGTCGGTTTTGAGAATCCACTTCTTTTTTAGACCTCATTGCCTTGCTGAAAGTAAAAAATGTTTAGGAAGCCCTAGCAGTTTCGTTCGGCTACATCCCTTTCCATATCGAATCAGCACGCGCGTGTCTGCTGGCGAAGGAGTGGAACAACATGGTTCAAGCACTTCAAAACTCTAATATTGTGGAGGTGAACAATTCTTATCTTGGAAATTGCCGGCACCGTCTCTTTTAAACGGTGACAAGGAAAACAGAATTATCAGTGGGCACAGGACTATGTCAATTCTCCTAGCTATACTCCATCCAAAATATGTTTACACGTTTGGTACCGTCCACCCTAAATCAGGGGTCTTGAGCTTTTGACAGTTTACAACAGTATAGGACCCTCTATCAATCCTACGCTCAATCGCGGCGCAAAATGTCGCTAAAGCGAGAAAATCGCTTTGGAATCTTATATATAAAGCTGAATGTCTGTTTGTCTGTCTGTCTGTCTGTATGTCTGTCTGTGTGTACGTATGTTCCGAATAGAAAATTCCATTTCTGAACCGATCCGGACCAAACTTGGCACACATACACTTCGGGCCCCGGCGCGTGTCATAGGCTACTTTTCGTCATCGATCGATATCGATTTTATCGATTTTTTGCAAAATTTGAGCTACGGGGCTGGGAGTTGGTTAGGGGGGTAATCGAGCATGCTGATTACGAATATAATAATGACAGGGCCGGGCGGAGCCGGGTAAGCCATCTAGTAAGGAATATGCTGAAAGTCAGTGTTCGGGCAAAAACTCGATTTCTAAAAAATCCAGTTACCGGGGGTTATCCGCAACGCTATATCCGAAAAGCTTAGAAGGCGTGAAAACGGCGAGAACATACGTTTTTCCAAAGACGCACGATTTGAAATTCGACGGTCTCCACCAAGGCAGAGACGCAGAGTCCCTGCGGGACCCTACATTTTAACTGGACGGCATACGTACTCTGCCGCATAGCTACACCTCAGAGACTCCGCCCCCAGGCGTAAGTTTCTCCACGTTCCAGTTTTCCTTGCTTTAGGTCGAGCGTTATGACGTCGCACCTGCGCGATGTTGTGTCTAGGGCCATTCTCGCATGGCACTCAAATCCCAAAACCCCCATCTTGCCCGGACACTGCCTTTGAGGACCCTAAGGGCTGCATGCATTAACATTCCCGCCAGAGGGGATCGCAGCTCAGAAAAAAAGGAACTTCATATCCTGAAGCTCCAGGGTGTGGTGCGGAAGGCGACAATCCCCAATTTTGTGCCTCTCGAAAGCTCTTCGATGCTAAAGTGACAAGGCGGGGGACTACGGGGATGGGGGTGGGCAGATACTCAATGCACTCAATGCATGAAGTAAACCTCGGTAAAAGTCAATGAGAAAGATGTTTTACCTCTTGCATTTTGCGCCGGTCGCCTTCCGCGTACCCCCCGACTAGACACGCACACGCCGCGTTCAAACCTTGAAGCCCACAAAACTCCCCACTGTTGAAGACTCCCGGCGGCAAAAACCGAGGGTGAGGTTGGCGGCAGATACCTAACTGGATGCCATAAGTAACTTCGCACCAGGAGCGCTGCTGTTGTATTGGCTGAAGTACGTTGCAACGTCGCTTCGCGAAAAATTCGCGCCGATCTCACCTCCTGACTGTTCCCCGTTCAAAAGCAGTGGCTAGGGAAAAGTATGCAAAACACATAAAGTAAATTTCGACCCGCTTTAGGCGGAAATTGGATTACCTGGCTCGCGCGGGTAGGGGAACGAAAGCCGCCAGCTTCGGTCGCGTGCGCGGACTGCTGGTCCTGGAACGACATGCAACAACGTTGCGAAAGGACCAGTTAGCCGCGAAAGACGGCTCAAACTGGCGGCTTTCGTTCCCCTACCCGGCTCGCGCCGTTTCGCAGCTACAGTATAACCTATCGTGCTGAGAGCCGAGGTCTGCGTCCCTTCATTCTCCCAGTCTTTGCTTGGCAAAATGCCACCGCTATGTGCTCGCAGCCGCTAGCGGTGCGCGACCGCTGCTCCTCGCGGAGGGGATCGGCCATACTATTCCTGCTATTCCTACGACTCCTGCGATTCCTGCGATTCCTGTGAGTCCCGCACAGTTTAGAAGCCGCTTAGGGATCGGCCATACTACTCCTGCTATTCCTACGACTCCTGCGATTCCTGCGATTCCTGTGAGTCCCGCACAGTTTAGACGCCGCTTAGGGATCGGCCATACAGCTTTATTCTTGTGTAAAAAATGCTTCTACAATATCTTGAGGTTATAATGACAGTGCATAAAGGGTTTTAGGGCAGAAACTTAGGCTTACTCTGCCGATTAAGCCGATGTCAGATTTGCTTCAGCAGCAAAAAGCCGGTTTTTTCCTCAATGCTCACGTCAAAAAGCATCCAGAAGATAGATGAAAACCCATCCTTTCCGATCCAGCTGAGAAACTGCAGAATTTCTTACTCAACGCAGGTTTGTGGAGCGAAATACATTTGAGTGCATCTTCAAGGCAAAAAAGCAGGTAATCAGTTCTTTTTGGAGGTATGACACAGCTTGAACAATGCAGCTGTTTAACGTTTTTGGATGTGTGCCTATCTAAAAAAAATTCGGGAGTTAAGAAGTGCTTTAATCAGTAAAAACTCCAGGTGGACCTATAGTTTTGGCCAGCCTTCAAGCCTGCTTTTTTCAAAATTTCTAATTTTTCCTTGAATAATCAAACGAAAACGAGAACTGTTTTGAAGACTGATAGTAGGCTGGTAAACACACGTCTCTACCAAATTTTGGAAAATTTCATTTACAGCAGAGTGAGTTATGGCATTTTTTAGAGTGGACCTATAATTTTGGCCAGCACTGTAGTATGGCCGATCCCTTAAAGGCAGCGTCCAGGCAGATCTGGACCTACGGGGCTTTTACGTGGAAAGTACTTTTGGGGCCCCAACTAAGGCACTGCCCAAGCGGCAACTCAGGTAGTGCTTTAATGGCTGAGATATTCCCCTCGAAACTGGCCCCCGCGAACGTATTCGCATGGATTCATGGCAGTTTCGCGCCAGGATCCACGCTTTGCGCCACGAATCCATGCGAAACACGGTCGCGGGATCCAGTTTCGAGGGGAATATCTCAGCCATTACAGCACTACCTGAGCTGCCGCTTGGGCAGTGCCTTAGTTAGGGCCCCAAAAGTACTTTCCACGTAAAAGCCCCATGGGTCCAGATCTGCCTGGACGCTGCCTTTAAATGAGCGCGTGTTGCGTAAAAACGTAACACGCAACACGCGCTCATTTAAGCGGCGTATAAACTGTGCGGGACTCACAGGAATCGCAGGAATCGCAGGAGTCGTAGGAATAGCAGGAATAGTATGGCCGATCCCGAATGTTTCGCCTAATCCGGGCTGAAATCGACTGTATTACCCTTTGGCTTTTTGAATGCGCTAATAGATAATAAACAATAAAGGGTTACTATTAAGCCTGTTTCGCCTCTACCCCTATATAAGTCCAGGCTGGTTGAAACCTCGTATTTATAGAAAGAGTGCTTTTTGTGGCCTTGGAGACTTTTGAAGAAGCTGGAGGAGCGATTCGCGGCAGCTAGTCAGTGTTTTAGTGGGAAATGTCTCCTCCAGCTCCTTCAGCATCTCCAAATGCTAACAGTCCGATTTTGACTGCAAAATACTGCTTTTGGAGTTAGGAAATCACTTCAGAAGTTCAGGTATAGGAACCACGAGTTGGTATTGTTCCTCACTGAAGCAAGCTTGCGTATCGAGGCGCGCCGCTGCAGCGCACATTCTCCTACTCTAATTAGGACGAGACTGAATCGAGGGTCGCCTGTTTCGGGACTCTTGAAGTGATTTCTCATGTCCAAAAACAGTATTTTGTAGTCGCAATTGAGCTATGGCTTGCATGGAGAGGCCGCTTCACTAATCCATGGAAATGAGATTCTCCTAAATCCAGCCAGACACTTTTTTATGGCAGCTGTCATTGAGACAGAGAGAAACCAGGCTGGCAGCCTGGTGCCAGCTGTAAATTCTCAGTCTGAGGCCAACTTCTTTAACAGGTTGATTCACATTTACCGTTCTTCTTTTGCAGTCTGACAACATTCTTATCCATTTCCTGCTAGCAGTTCATTGCATTTGTTCTACTGGCACAAAGATTGAATCTGTTCTGAACGAACTAAAGGTGAGATTGCCGCATTTAGGATGTTGCAACAGGTCTCAACTAATAAGAGATAAATGATTTATCTTCTTTCAGACTGCACTAGATGCTACCGAAAGTGAGAACCATGCGCTCTATGCAAGCGTTGCTAATGCTCTTTACAGAATGGCTGCACGAAACAGGACTGTGCTCGCTTTTTGCAGGTTATTTCTTACCTGGAGATTTCGTTAATCTTTGTATCTAAACACCTATCTTTTTAATGTTTGACTAAGCTCCCTCTTGATCTCATCAGCAGTCGGGGGCCTTTTTTGTATCTGTCAGTTCGGCGCAGCTCATGTTTGAGTTGTTGGTGTTGACAGCCGACTGGAGGATAGTGAGAAAGACGCCTAGCTTACTTTAGCGTATGACTGTCGACAGTGTAACAGGAATATGATACAATGATTTTGTCAGGGATATCTTTCAAGTAACATAAGATAGGAAACATTCGTCTTTTCCTTCGATTATAGCACACGCCATTGATCCATTTTATTCCTCTGCTCCACTATTGGTCAAAACAGTGAACTGACCAGTAGCGAAGTGTATCAAATATATATTCATTTCGCTATTGGTCACTTCACTGATTTGACTAACAACGGAGTGGATCAAGTAGATCAAGTGGATAAACTTCGGTACGCACCTATCTTATCTCCCCCTTGACTCAATTTGTAAGTGAATGGTAGCCCAGGGACTCTTTGTTTTTGATTCTTGAAGCAGCACTGCTGCGAATAAGTAGAAGAACCTCAAAAATGTTTATTGTGGTTTTTTCCTTAATCTTAGAGAAATCGGACGTTCAGAGAGTTACTGGCCCAAGCGAATCGGAAAGGACGGCATGCTCAGTATGTTGTTGATGAACTACGCGTCGCTATCTCTTTCGAAGATGTTAGAGAAGTGACTGCAAAGATGAAAGAGCTTATGAATCTGGACACCGATGATCCATACGCCACGCTCGGTGAGGTTATTTACATTCTTGTCATTGTAAAAAAATATCGATTTCTTTAGCTGCAACCCTGTCGAATCTCATGTCTGGAAAGTTGAATGAGGCTGCGGATCAGCTGACATTCATGAAGGAAGCGAATCCGCACATCACTGAATCAGCTGTAAGTATTTTGCAAGGAACTTTGCGTTTTTCTTACATTGACGATTTTCAGGTTTATCATTTTGCAAGTGCTGTAATCGCCAAGTACAAAGATAACTCTTTTGAGAAATTTATGCAAATGACGAATGACGCTATTATAGCTCATTTGAATAAAATACAGGTAAGATTTTTACGTGGATACCTAGGAAAACCATTTTTCTCGTGCCGTGTTCGTGTGATCAAAGTGCAAGAAATCAAAGGAAACAATGTTTCAAAACCAAAGCAATAGTAATCTTTCAGACCATGCCTTTTGGTGTAGAATACCTTCGACAACTCGATTCGGATTTTATCATGGGTCTCATCTATCAGATTTTGGATTATGCACCAATCATGGTACAGTAAGTTTCGGCCCGCCTTAGGCGGAAATTGGATTGGCGGAAGTCCGCCTCGCAACAGCTCGCGCCGTTTCGCAGCTACAGTATATCCTATCGTGCTGAGAAGCCATGTCTGCGTCTCTTCAATCTCCTTAGTCTTTGCTTGGCAAAATGCCAGCTCTAAGCGCTCGCGAAGCCTCCAGCGATGCGCATGCGCTGCTCCACGTAGAATGTCTCGCCTAATCCGGGATGAAACCGACTGTATAGTCGTCCTCCCCCCACTAGACACCTAGTGGACGAAATCGAATTTGAATTGGAGCACGCCGGCTGCGGCAGAGCGCGGCACCGTCAAATGCATTTCAAACTAACACATTTTCTTTTGTGTTTCACTGTCGTTGCATAGTGATTTCTTTCTGTTTTAATGATGATTGTGATCAAAATTGAAGGATTTTTTTGCTATGCGATGTTTCGTAATGCTATGCTCGTTTCTTTACTCTGTTTTCAGGAAAGGTTGGAAAAACGATGCATATGGGGAGTTTTTGACACGAAGTATTTGATGAATCACCACTTCGAGACCTACCGAGAACAATTCCACCAAATTTCAAACTTGGGCGTTTTTCCAAACTCAACTTGGAATCTTAGTCAAAGAAACGAGCATAGAAGCACGATCCATTGCTCAAACAAAAGCAACAATTTCAGTACGGATTGAGAGAATGTCAGCATTCGAACATGAGGGTGCATCGTCGGGAAAACACAAAAAAAAATTGTTTGAGATTGAAGTGACAGCTGCAGGTGCCGCGCTCTGCCGCAACCTGCGTGCTCTAGTTCAAATTCGAATTCGTCCACTAGGTGTCTAGAGTGGGGGGAGGACGACTATACTCATCGCTCGATTGCGACATAAGTTCATCTCATCATATAATTACTTTAGCCATTGAAATCTCCTAATGAGGTTTTGAAAACAGCGGAACGTCTTCTCAATCTTCTTGTCGACAACTCTCCAGGTATGAAAATTGAGCCGTTTATTATTATTATTATTATTATTATTTATTGCGTAGGAATTTCCTATGCATATTACATTCAACAGAACACAAAATCTAATAAACAACACAAATCAACACAACAAACTAGAAAGGCCTAACAATCATATGAGGAACTATGGCGAAAGAAGATAGTTCTCAAGAATCATTTTAAACTGAGACAATTTTAGAGGAAGCATACCCTTTCTCATCATTTTATCTAGATCGCCGCTGACTCTGTTTGTAAAGAATCTTCTTCTCACATTCCTCCCTGCTCTTGGTATTACCATTTTTTGAGGTCCCCCTCTAGTAATAGAACTTCTAGTCTCAAAGAAGTTGGCGGGATTAAGTTGGCAATCTCCGAATAATATTTTGTGAGCCATAATGAGATCAAGCTTTCTTCTTCTATTGCACAGGCTGACCAATCCCAAGATTTTATTTCGATCCTTTCCGTTGGGTAAAAGTTCGTATTTGAGGCCTTTGGTTCTAATCAATAATTTATTGGTCTGATGTAATTATTTCTAGGAATCAGTCAAGTCTATTACCTTCTTGCTCGTTGTTTCTTTTTACACTCTGACTGGGATGCTGCTGATCGCATGATTAATCAATGTCTGGAGAAAAATGAGACTGTAACAGATGCTTATCTGCTGAGAGCTGAGGTATTAACCATCTTGTAGATATGAAGATCCACTTGGAATCATTTTCCAGATCAAACTAATGAATGGACAAGTTGCCGATGCAGACAGCTGTCTCAATACTGGCCTTAGTTTCAACTTTGCTATTCGAGAAAGCTCGATTTTCCACCTAATAAAAGCCAAAGTGCATAAGGTAGGCTAGCTCACTTGTTTTGAGACATGTTTCAATTTTGCGGACTGGTGAGATCGAATTTTTTTAACCATTATTTTTTGCAGCAAAAGAACGAGCTAGAAAAAGCCGCTGATCTTCTAAAAGCTGGTCTCAAACTACCACAGAAAGAACGTTCCACAAATTTACTATCGAAGATGGAAAGTACAGACTCCCAGAGGATATCTATTCAGCTGGAGTTGATTGATTGTTTGCAATCATTGAAACAAATTGTGAGTTTAGTCTAGTTTAGGAATTTGTTGTGCGCGCAATGTGTGGTTGACAATAATCGCCTAGCTTGTGTAATTAAGCATGAAGCCGAACGAGTTATGAAGGAGGCCATGGCGCAGTGGAAGGGAAAACCAGAAGAGGAACAACTTTTGCTAATGAATGCTCAAATAAAAATACGGAAAGGCGACGTAGATGGAGCACTGGCCATGTTGGGGACGGTACGTTCGTCTGGGTTTTTCGATGTCTGCGGCAACTGCATCTTCTCTTTCTTTTTAGGTGCAGCCTGGGCAGCCAAACTACTATTCTGCACGCATGAAAATGGCGGAAATATATCTGGAAGAGAAGCAGGACAAAACAATGTTTACGCTCTGTTACAGGTGCGGTATGGCTGTGACAGCCGCAGTAAATTTTTTTAATAGAGAGACATGCAGAGTTGTTTGAATAATGGATGACGTCTGCTACTTTTTTTGAAAACTGTCTGGGGAGTGTCAGACGCTTGCAGATTCGAAATTCCCTAAGATCAAGAAAGTCATGGACTCCCGCATTTTTTTTCATTTACCTAGTCGTTCATAAAACTTTTCTAATTTTCACCCAGTCATAAGTAAAGATAAAGCTTACATTAATTCACAACTCGTACAAATCAGTGGCGAGCGGTGACTAAGGCAAAGCGGAAGTTTTTTTTGGATGAAAATTGTCAGCGTCGATTATTTTCCAATAATTTTTTGGCGATTTTACCAAGGTTTTTGCGGGAAAGACTTGAAACATTCAAGGATTTCAAAAAACAAATATGAACTTCGATAGAAGCTAGAAGATTATTTCATTTATTTACAAGTACCAACGCCTGCCCAATTTTATAATTCTTATAGACCACTCGACTTGTTCTTGAAGGAGTTGGCCCCTTCCTCTAACGCGCTACTGATGTAGATCACTTTCGATGTCGCTGCAGAATCTATTGCAGTGTAAATTATAGACAGAGGTGTAAACTGCTTCATATTACTAAGAGGCTGCAGTCTCTCAAGAGGGGCGCAACTAGTACATACTTACATTGAGTACTAGTACTTTCACAGGCGGCAGTGGACTAGTGCTATATGAGTTTGGGAGAAGCACAGTTTGAATTGATACGTTAAAAATGTGAAGCGCTATCACAGATGAATCTATTCTCCCCTTTTCAGATGAGATTAGCATAAACACAAATATCGTGGTCCTCCTAAGCCATATGGATGTAGCTGAAAGTCAGTCGAAAGATGAAATGAGAAGTACTTTGTAATGCATTCCAGGGAACTTCTTAAGAGTGCACCAACATCGGCGACCTATGCGCTGCTGGGTGATGCATATATGAGTGTACAAGAGGTATTATACATGCATGCATGCAAAAAAGAGCTTTAAGCGAAATTCAGCAGTAATATCAAACATATCATTTAGCCAGAGAAGGCTATCGAAGCCTACGAGACGGCGTTGAAAATGTCAAATAAGGATATGGGTCTGACAGAGAAGATTGGCGAAGCATACGTGTTATGTCATCTATACTCAAAGGTTTGTAAAAAGCTATCCTGTCATATGTTTTTTACCTTGCATGTGCTTCTTGAAAGCAAAAAGATAGTTTTAGAAACACACTTCATATCCAGCCACTTAAGTTTTCCTAAACATAATCATTACAGGCTGTAAACTTCTACGAATCAGTGATGAACTCGACGAAGGATAAACGAATGCGCTTAAAATTAGCCGATTTACTTCATCAGTTGGGAAACACAGAGAAATGCATGCGCATATTGCGACAGCCACTGGACGAAGAGCCTAACCCTATAGGTAGGCCCAAAGAATTGTAGAAGTGTGCGAATAATTTGTTTCTATTTTTAATAATTAGTTAATCTTTTAGTTTTAATAAAGATTGAAAATAGTTCTGGGGGCGTATTACCGCTTCTGGTTAATTGGACTTGGAGAGCGTCCCAAAAATGTCTTGGAGAGAGTGGCCACGATCTTCATTCGAGCAATTTTTTAAAATGATCCTTCCCCCCTCTCTCCCGAAAAATTTCGAGGTCCCTATAATTGGTATGGGACGATAAAACCGCTATTATACTTTATGCACGGCTTTCAGAACCGGCCACCATCTCTGCTCATGTACAGTATCTAAAATTACTGGCTGAAGTGCAGTTTGAAGGAGGAAAGCACACAGAGGCGCTGAATGATTTGACAGCGTAAATAAAGTATCTTTCGAGAGATACTGCTTTGTAAAGTCAACCTTTTCAGAGCCAAAAATCTGCAGATGAAGCTCCTCACAAAGAGTGATTCCGCTGCAAATCAGGAGGTGAAGAAGGAGATATCGAAGTAACAACATTGTCTGGTTTTTGGAAAATCATGTGATGATATATGTTCCAGGATTCTCTGTAGCCAAGCAGAAATTTATAGCAATGCACACGATCACAAAATGGTCATTGAAAGGTACAAAGAAGCGCTCACGTTTTACGAAACGGATATAAAAGTTGGTAATCGGAATTTTTTTGCGCTCCTTTGTGAAAGATACTTGTTTGCAGACGATCCTAGCGTTAGCTAGTCGGTACATGACTATCAACAAGTTGGCCGAATGCAAACAAATGTGCGAAATGGCTTTATCTATCGACAAAAACAATGATGAAGCAACACTTGTGAGGAATCGGTATTTGTGATCCGTTTGCACAATAGTGAAGTTTGCAGATGGTTGCCGACATGCTTTACACTAATAACGACACTGATAAAGCAATAGTGCACTTCGCTCAGCTGTTGGAAAAGTACCCTAGTGAGTTTGCTTCATCAGAATATCTTTTGAAGTTTTTCGTTTCCATGCTTTTTTGTTTTCTGTCTTGATCGTACTTTATTAGAAAGCAGTCCCGCTTTCGAGCGGAATTTAGATAACTGCAGATATAGTTTCTAACTTAGTCTTATCCTGTTCTGTTGAAGCTTTCAGCTGTTCTGAAGACTGAGAACAAAAATTCATTTTTACATGTAGTAACTTCTTATGGAATTCGAAATCTAAAAGTATTCGTTCATCGAACTTTCTGGAGTAAAGGTTTCCTTTCTGAACACTCACTCTCAGACCGATATCTCAGCACTATGCTAGATTAGAAGTATCACTAAAAAATGAGTTCTTATAGCCTGGACTGATCTCGCATTTGCGATTATGCTCAAAGCCGAAATTGCCTCTAAGGCCTCGGGCAGAGTTCAAGCGATTTCATTGTCGCGATTGATCGCGACAAGACAACTGTAACAATATCACTGCATGCCGATCTTCTTGCATTTCGGTTGTGATAGTTTTCCAACACGACTAATCGTGACTAACTATCACAACCGAAATACAAGAAGATCGGCAATGCAATGAACTCGTAACACTTGTCTTGTGGCGATGAATCGCGACGACTAAATCGCGTGAACTTTTTCCTAGACCTAATGCTTTTTGTACACCAGTGATGCTTGCATTAGCCGCGTCTAGTTTTTCAGCTGCCTCTGCAGCAATCAGCTGACTGCGATTTTTATGCGAGCTTTGTGATTGGTCCACCTTTTCCTGCCTAGAGTGAATTTTTCCATTATCATATCGATGGAACTTTGGATTTCACTACAGCTTTGCCTGGAGGCGTGCTGTAGATATCAGATCAATTTCGTGCAGTGCTTTGTTTGAGGGCATTCTTCAGCAATGTGATTACGTTTATGAAAGACCTTTTGGGGGATCACTGAGTGGGTACCATGCCCGTAACTTAGGAGGCCGGCTTTTTTGCGCTGTTCCATACGATACTGTGATCAGCGTGCCAAGTACTACTCCGGGCAAAAGTTCCAGAGCAATCTACAGTTTTGAGTTTCTGGTCCCCTGATTTGAACTTATCGACTGACGGTAATGAGCAGTCTCTCATTTAATGGTTGGGAGGTAGGGTAAATAGCTAATGCAGAACGATCGAGCTTCTCAGAAATAACTAGCCCTCTATGTAGCACAAGGTTTTACACTATTTTGCGAAAGGAATGGAAGATGTGGTGAAAGTGGTGCATAGAAAACGCAAACAGCAGTGACACAAGGATATATATCGATCGATTTACGTCTGGATCGCTGACCGGGTTTGGCTCTTTTTTTGCATCTGCGGTGCCGACAAATGCGCCTCTCTTTCTCCATCCACGCAGCACGCACTCACGCTGCAACCAGCCGCAAACGTCGGATCGATGTAGGTCGTTGCGATTGCTCGTCATTTCCAGTTGTAGTCGGCTGTGGTATGGTCGGTACGGCCGAAGTCATTTTGGTACCGGCTGGCACCGATTTCTAGTATCTACTATTTGACCTAGGCATTAAATCGCTTCACTTTTAGCATTCCTAGTTCTAATTATTCGCTGCCATGACATGGTAAGTTGGATTGGTTTCATGAGTTGGACTGTGTGAGCTGCGTTAGTTAAAGAAAGCGTCAATATCTGAACTAGTGACATCAGGGGCTTTCAAAGTATTGATTCTTGAGGTAGGACGCGGCCAGTTGCGAACATGTTCTCGCAGCTCTAGAGATTTGCTGCTTCAAATCCTGAGACTCATTGTTTCCTTCCCATTCAAATTATCGTTTCCTATTCGTTAAATTCACAATTTCACTAAATGACTCACAGAGACGCATTGTTTTTTTTTAAATTCATTTGCAGACATTTTTTTTCATAAGCTGCTAACGTCTGCTGAGGTGAGGTTTTTTCTTTGATTCAGAGCAAGTCCTTGACAGCAAGTCTTTTAGTTTTGCAGAATATATCTGGGTCTTTCATATTTACTGGATTAATTTTTAATCAGTTTGCTCCTTCGCTCCCTTACAAGACACCCTACAAGCCACATATTCCAACTCATAAAAACTCTCAAGTCATAATCATGGTTCAAGAATCGAGGGCCAGTTTTTCTAATGTTGTTTAATTACATTTATGCGGTATGAATTCGATCAAGGTGTATCATATAAATCCCATACCAAACAGAAATGATAGAGTATTTTTGCCTCTTGTCATTTATATTTTTAGATCATTACCACGCACTAGCTCGATGTCTGGAGCTGGCATGGCGTGCTGGGCATGTCGATCAAGCTGATAAGTATCTAAAGAAAGCGCTTGAAAATAACCCACGCGCTTCTGTTGATGCTGGTTATAATTACTGCAAAGGATTGCATGAGTGGTTAGTTTGATGTTATTTTGTGAGTCCTTGGACTTTTCAAGGTTAACATTTTTGAAACTTGCCTTGCGTTGACCTTATCTCGAAATCGCGCGCGATGGATTGTGAAACAGAAGCAGTGGTGGTCTTTGTTCGCATTTTTCGGCATATGCCTATACAATAGACTGTGAATAATGGGCTGCCCCTTTCTATGCTGCCATCTGCACTAACGCATTGATACGATTCAAATCTCATGCATTCTGGGAGGGAATGAGCAGGGTGTCAATCGATTACAGGAACTATTCAGACGAATAGTTTTACAGGTATTCTGGGGAGCCAAATGCTGCATTGCAAGCCTTCAATCGCGCTCGTCGTGATCTTGAATGGGGCGAGCGAGCTTTGTATAACATGATAGAAATTGTGTTGAATCCAGATAATGAGATCATCGGTGGAGAGGTATTGGATGCAGAGGACAGGTGGGATTTCATTTCACTGCTCTTGAAAATGCCATATTTATGAGCGTAAGCATTTGAGAAACATTACGCGTATAACATATACTAGTGTTTTTCAGAGGAGACAACTCTGACAGAGAGATGGCAGCTAAAACTGCAGAACGTTTCTTGAAGGTATGTTTTCCATCTAAGTCGCATTAGAGGATATTGTGGGTTCGGTGAAGACTTTTTTCAAACAAGATTGAGACACTTTGATTTGAAATAAAATAGCACACACTTCATTTCAAATATTTACACTGCATTCCATTTCTGAATTCGAATTAGCATCTGCTCAGAAGACTTGAGAGTGAAGCTGTACGATGATTGAAAAAATTGCCTAGGCGGTTGAATTCCTGTGGAAGTAGTGCCGAAGAGGAGATTGCAAAGGTCTACTTTGGAGCGAAGGCTTTTTCAACGCTACAGAGCGCGTTTTCAAAGGCCGCTATACTCATCTAGGTCCATATATCCGCTAAAACAAATTGCAGCACATTAAACGACATGAGTCATTTGGAGTGAAGTAAAAGAGAAGTTGTACGGAATAGAATTTTAATGTTGCACAAAAAAAGGGAAACCTTGTCATTCGATAATGGGTTGTTTCGAACTGGATGAAAGGGTTGAAAAATATATGGTGCCTGCGAATGGGTGCGGTTTCGCGAAGGAACTTGAAGGGATGCCTAGATGCGATTCAAGGTACTCAGTAGTCAGCGGTGTATAGGAACTCGAAAGCGAATGGTTCACCTACAATCCTTGTAATGACCAACAACACCAGTACAGAATAGATGATAGAAGGCAGATTTTTCAAGTTTTGGAACCATGTAACTCTTTCCACTTGTATTGTCGGCACCGCGGGGCACGATACCACTTAACTACTAGACAGTATCTTCAACGTTCCCTCAAAACTGAACTTGTGGTTTCAGATGTCACACAGCTGCTATGTATCTGAATTTTCAGGAAGTGACGTTCAAGAACAACAACTCAAAGTATATTCTGATGGAGAACTCAATCCTAGTCGCGAGCGGCGTGCGAGCCAATATTCAGCGTGCACTTGACAGATTGCTGCCAATAGTAGGGAATGACGGAGTGAGTTCTTGGAATATTTCGAATATTTATTTGGGATTTTGCATTATATTCTTGAAAATAATTGACAGTTTATTTTATTTTGCAGTTTTTCATAGTTATTGGTATCTTTTTGTTATCGGAAAAGGTATCCAGACAGTAGCTTGGGCATTTTTTTGAAGTGTTCCTCTGCTACAGGCGTAATGAAGCGGCAATGTTACTGCATTCAGGAAAAAGTCTCAAGCGTTGGCGCGGTTTTGGTTGTGGCGAGGGCGTATATGCTCATGAAACAGACTCCTAAAGCGAAAGCGCTGCTTAAAAGAGTAGTTGGTCATAGCTGGACATTGGAAGATGCGGATTATCTGGAGAAGTGTACGTTTATTGCCTTCTTAGAGTGTCAACTCTAATTCTGCAAACATTTTTTTCTGCTCTTTTCTCCCCCATTCATGTTTGACTCGATGCTTGCTATGACACTTCTGCGAGAAGGGAATTTCTTGTCTCCCTTTCGTTGAGTGTCATGGCTGGATCGCAGTGTCTGTCTTCCTTCCTTTCTTCTGTTGAGTCGAAAAATGGGCATTTCTTCTTTTGATTTGTTACGAAGTTTTACAGGCTGGTTATTGCTCGCTGATTTATACATCAATCAAAACAAATCTGAGCAGGCGAATACAATCTTGCGAACCGTCCTGCAACACAATGCGGTTTGTCAATGTTCCAAAGTTGTGAAGTGCGTTGTGTCGTGTGTGTGATGCACTGCTGCAGCTCTTTGTGATATCTCACCTGCACCGATGTGCATTGAATGAGATGCAAGTAATCGTCAGAGAGCACTTTCGCGTTGATTTCCTGCTAATATTTTATCTTTAGAGTTCAATAAAAGCTTTCGAGTTCCTTGGATATCTTCGTGAACGGGAGCAGAAGTTCAATGATGCAGCTGCGAATTACGATGATGCCTGGAAATTGAGTCGAATGCGGAATCCATCTATAGGTAGCGCTTTCTTTTCGTGATTCGCTCACAAGTGACTTTTTACCGCCTTCAATCCATTTTCTCTCACTGTGTTGGTATCAGAAATAATTGATGATAATATTACTAGCTAATATTACATAACCGGCAAACGTCTTATATGTAATTTAGGATACAAATTGGCCTACAACCTCTTGAAATGCAAACGATTGTTTGATTGCATTGAAGTTTGTCATCATGTACTGAAGCTCTATCCCACTTATCCGAAGATCAAGAAGGAAATTATGGACAAAGCAAGAATGAGCATACGATCTTGAGGTGTTTGAGGATAATAACAAGTGGTTGTTTGTTTGAGATAATTCACACATGAATATGCCTTCCTTCGTCTTTTTTTTTTCAACTTAAAAATTTAACATCTAAATTATCTGTAATCACATTGCTACAATGATAATTACCACTAGGTCTATGAAAATAGAGTATGCGAGCAGCTCACGTTATGTAGGTGGATAAATTGTTGAGCCTATCCTCTGTGCATATTTTGTTTTGTCAACGTCAGAAATGATTCGATATTTGACCGGGTTCGACCTTTCATGAAGTACTTTGTAATTGTAATCGCATGTATTCTTAATGTAATCGTCTTTACGCAAAGCTTAGTTCTTGGTGAAGTGCGCCGTAACCAGTATGCGTCATATTATTACGTAGAGTGCTAAGGTTTCCTGAACTTTACTACAGCACTTCAATCTGTGCATCACAGTCCGACTGAAAATCGACCGTCATTTTCACCTCGCCGCAGATTTCGGTGACCGGCCTCTCTACGAAGTTTCTAGGGGAGTCCGATCGACGCTTTCTATATTTGGTTACTACTCTTGCATACTACAAAGACACGTTGTGCGACAACGCACGAACTTCCCTACTGAATGAAGCTAAAGCAATACTATTTTTGATGGAGTACAATATTCAGTCAGTAACCACTTTGAACATGGCGTCAAGCTACTATGCAAGATTAACATTTTTCGAGGAATGAATCTTGTCGGCCTCCTTTCATTCCATTGCTTCGATCACCCTTGAATCTGAAGTAATGCAGCGAATATTCAGCTGTACAAGTTCGCGCGTAATCGACTGTTTGGAGAATGTGAAGAATGTGACTCCAACTCCTGCCTCATTCTTGGTATGAGCCGTGGGTATGTTCCAAATAGATGCTGAGTCATTAGCCAAAGAAATGTAGAAGAGCTGCATGGAGAAAACTGGATAGCAACATTCTTTGCCACACACAAGAGATGGAGTGCAACCTCCATCGCGATATTTTGGTTAGCAGATTGTAGCGAGGTCCATTATCAAGACATCCAAGATAAGACCTTTGCTTTATCTCTTTTTGAGGACTCTTCAGTTGTTTCGTATCAAAGCGTTGCAGCCAAAGGTTGTGCTCCAGTCTTTCATCTGGCAAAACCACTCCGTCTCCTTCGTCTAGTTAGGAATCTGCTAACTGTGCAATGTGGGACAGGTCATGACCAGGGTTGAGCTTGAGGTCAGGCGCGCCCAACCTGGGGGTCGTATTAGAGGTAAGACTGAGGGGAAGGGGTCGTAATCAAATGAATTTGTTCACAAAATGAAGGGGATGCTGCGATTGAGTAAGGTGAAGAAGAAGAGCGCTAGACCAGTGCTTACCGTTCCACCGGAGAGGAAATGACTGTCGTTAGTTGCATACTGGTAACTCCACCAACGAAGTCTTTGCCAACCGTAAGGTCACCAAAGAGGCTTGCTGTGTAAAATGGGTAAGATTTCTGTAATCAGCATGCCAAATTGCCTATATGAGCTCTACAAACCACCAGCTATCACATTTCTAGCGTTTCCTAACGTCTAAGATTTCAGACATGATTAACATGGTCACGAAAGTAAAAAGAGTCGGCTTTTTGTGCTCAAAACGAAGTAATACTCCTTATCAGTCTGTGGTAAAAAATAGACCTTCCATCGCTTCCAAAAAGTAAATCAAGAAGTGCTGCCGAAATTTCAATCACCGAGTTTTCCACTTTGAGTGCTTCAAATCCACTGATCACAAAACCGGGACAAGCCTAAGTAAGCTCAAACACTTACTGTAGAATCTTCGAGGTTTGTGCTAGCAATTCACATAAAACCAGGGTGGAAAAGCTTCTTCGGCGATAAAGTTAATCGGGTCAGGCGAAACCCTTCAAAAGCTCAGGCCGCCTGAGCTTTTGTACCCTTGCGCCCGACCCCCCTAACATGTCTTCAAAATCCAGAAATTGCTCCACTCCTGGTATGAATATTGAGCTCATACCTCCTTCTTTCTACAATGAAAATTTGGAGCCAAATACCCCAGTCCTAAAGAAATTATGATCCTTGCAATAGACCCATTCAGATCAAAATCAGCCGTCAAACTAGGTGTAATTGTAAAGTGCAATCACAGAAAATCGGGCGTACAGATCAAAAATCCAAAAAAGGTGAAAAGGAGGAAGAAAGGGGTCGTTCGGGGCTTTCAGAGGGGGGGGGGGGTCGTTTTTGAAAGACTTGTGCCTGACCTCTTGCTCAAATCAGGTCATGACTGTCAATTTGCGCAAAATTCCGCCGCTGGTGATGCGCGACATTCACCGTGCGAGAGCCAGATCCCGCCGCTAGCAATCCTATATATCTATTTATCAGTGGCGTACCCAGGATTTCGGCTCGGGGGGGGGGGCGCGACAAAAATTTTTTTCTAATGAAGGTGCGTGGCGTTAGCCACGCACTTCGAAAAAATTTTTGGGGTGCTTCTCAAAATTTTTGCAGGTCCCCGACCCCTAAAATCTGGAAAAAGGGGGCGTGGCGTCAGCCACGCCCCCGAAAAATTTTTTTTATAAAGCTAAAATGAATTTTTAAAAAAATTTAAAAATTATTTTAATTATTTACGAGTGCAGACAAGTCATTTGCACAATTTTATAACCCATATAAGTAACTTTCAAAAATTTCGCGACCCGTTCTCGGGGGGGGGGGGGGCGCGCGCCCCCCCCGCCCCCCCCCCTCGGTACGCCACTGCTATTTATATATCCCTCCACGGAGTCGCGATGGGCGCGAACCAAATCGCGACGTCAAGCAGTAACAGATTCGGCTCTTCGCAGTGCTCCCGTCGTTATGCATTGGCATCCAGTCAAGTATTTGCCACCAGCTCTCTAACCGCCTATCCTCCCGCTGTGCCACTCTAGCACCGGAGAGTTTTCTGGAGCACAAAAACGGGCCACTGCGCGAAAACAGTTGCTGTGCGCGGCGACTCCTTCCGTTAAACCGTGCTAGTTTAGGCACTCCCACGTTTGATCCTCTTGTTCCACTTCGCTATTGGTTAAATCATTGAATTAACCAATAGCGAAAAGAATCAAGTAGACTTCCGCTTCGCTAATGGTCAGTTCACCAACATGACCGGTAGTTAGGCGAAGTGAATTAAGTGACTCAAGTGGATCAAGTGCAGCGCGTGCCTTACCACCAGAGAGTTTTTGTGGGAATTTGAGCGCCGCCAAGCGGCCGCCAGCGCGGCGCGAGTCTGGCGGCGCAGGCCACTGCTGACGCGCTCCACTGTGGTTTACATAGCGGCGCGTCCTTGACGTATTCGAGGCGCACAGCTATTTCCTCCGGCTCACTTCGCACTCGGTCACGCTTTTCGCCTTGGAGCGCGGCAAGCTCTTTGAACTTGGGTCCATTAACTATAACATCACAATCATTACATCCACGACCTAAACTAGTCAGTCATACGAGTGTCACTCTTGCCGTGGTCGTGGAGTCAAGAATGCTGTGCAACAAATTGGTCCAGGAATGATTCAACAAATGCAAGTCAGATGTCCTGATTGCCGCGGCGAAGGCGAGTTTCAACAAACAGTCTGAATGTGGTGCATCCAAATCAGAACCGTTTTCGATCGTGTGGGTACCATATACACTCTTAATTGTTTCTTTGCAGGTACTAGAATCCCAGAGTCCGACCGATCTCACTGTAAAGGAGAGAAAAGCGAGGAAGTAGAGAAGATACTTGAGGTATTGAGCGATGCAAGTGTTTCAACTTGTATTATTATTTTCATCGACTTGTATCTAGGTTCACGTAGAACCAGGAGTGAAGCACAATGACAAGACCAATTCCCTCGTGAAGGAGATCAGTCTGACGTGAGTGATGTTATAATCTCGAAAAAATCTCTCATTATCAGTTTTTTCCACAAACTCGTTCATGGTTCATCTTCCTTGTTTCAGCCAGACATTGACGGGTGATCTTGTTATTGTTATACAAGTGAAACCACCTGACGTATTTGAAAGGGAGGGCGATGATCTCATTGCGAAAAAGTAAGTAATCAAAATGTTCTCGGGCGAACTCCTTGGTAACATTTTTGGATTATGATCGTTGTTTCATTTCTAAAAACATTTTTTAAGAACTATATCGCTGAACGAAGCTCTATGCGGGCATAAAATCCCATTGGAACATCTTGACGGCCGTACTTTGATTTTGAAGAATAAGCCAGGAGACATCCAAACCCCAGGTTTGGCATTGTTCTGAAAGAAATTCATTTGTTAACAGCATCTTATACATGATGTTTTCATTTGTTCAGATTGTTTCGTGGTATAATCGGAGAAGGTATGCCGCAAAGGCGACATCATGATCTTCGTGAAAATCTTTATGTAAAGTTTGATGTAGCCTTCCCAAATGATCACTTTTTGGAAGACGACACGAAGTACAAGGTTTGTCCTGAGACTCGGTTCAGCATTTTGAGTTTTGTTTGCATGAATGTAATGCTTTTAGATGATTGAAACCGCATTCCCACCAGTCAGGAAAGTTGCATATCCGTCGAATTGTGAAGAGGTATGTGGTTCTTATTGTTATGTGTGATCACCAAGCACACCTACTTTTGCGGCAGTGGAAATCTTTATCTGTTTTTGCCAAATACTGATTATGTCGCATATGCCTCCATTTTTGTCAACGCTACCATAATGGAGTTTAGGTGTCTTTGATGGAATACGATGAGAAGCGGTATCGTGGCGGCAGAGGAGGAGGACAAGCTTATGAAGAAGACGGATCGGATGAAGAAATGGGTGGTCATCACGGGCCTCAGGTGCAATGTGCACAAAGCTAGAGTCATTCTCAAATCTTCTCGTTTTTTTCTTATTTTCTTTCGAATCATTTGGCGATACTATGCTTTGATTGTGGTCTTTAGATACTAATGACTTGGTGAAATTGTATTCAGTAGTTATTCGAATGAATGTGCTGTTTAACGCTGTTCTGAAAACATTTGCTGAAAATGAATGTCGTTTACTTCATTTAAATCGCTTGTATAGTATTCTTTCTTGCTTCTGCAAAATACTAGCAAATTGTTTAGTTTTCTCATCATAGCTAATGTACTAGTGATGAGTCCAGGTACCCTCGATATCATCCCATATGTCTTCCCTCAACATGACGTGGATTACGTGGCTTGATGAAGCGCCGCCTCGCCTCGGGCTTGCGCCACGTTTGCGTGCGCATCTTCGGCGTGATGTGGCAACAAGAAGAACGTGGAGAAGCCTGCGCCACGTTGTGCTGAGCGCCACGTCGCGCCAAATGATGCGCTCGCAACGTGGCGCGAGCCCGAGGCGAGGCGGCGCCTCATCAAGCCACGTAATCCACGTCATGTTGAGGGAAGACATATGGGATGATATCGAGGGTAAATTGATTGACCGTTGATGATAAAGAGCGTGCGAGTACTGGGTATCTATGCGAAAAAAAGTCATAATCAAAAAACTGGGGAGATCCTTTTGGGGATGCGAAAAACTCACAGGGGTGCGGGATACATTGTTAAAGCGGGAACTTCTGCGAGGTGACAGCAACAAGTTTTAAGCAACGATGATGTCAGAGTATCTCCCAGGTAATCTACTGCATATCTCCTGTGATTGAGAAAAATCTCTATAAGGACTTACGTGGTTTCTCTGAATGCAATGGGTGGGTTGCTTTTTTAGAGTAGATTAGCAAGCCCCTTAGCTGTTAACAGCCTCAGATCATCTGCGAAACTCGAAGAGAAAAAACCTCTGAGTTGGGAAGAGCTTTTGACTTGCAGGTTGAAAATTGTCGGAGATGCACACTGCCACTTAACGCACAAATGTTGTCGTCAACGCAGAGACACTACATCAATCGCCAAAACGGCTAGACTTTGTGTATACTCAATTGGTGCTTTTGCATAGAACAATACACTGCGAAATCTGCTTTTTGGGTAAAAACACGCGCTGCCTGCGTTTCAACTTAGCATCTCGAAAGGAATTTTATGCAAAAATGGCTCAATCAAAAGGAGAAAGTTAGTATCTCGAAATAAAGTTTGATGTATAATAGAAGGAACGGAAATTAAAGGTTATCGCAAAGTGCTGTGAAACCCCAAAGTCCTGCGGAAGTCTCACTCTGAAACACCAACAATGATGGCGCAGTTAATCGGTGGAGAGTGATTGTGATGTAATAGTTAATGGACCTAAGTTCAAAGAGCTTGCCGCGCTCCAAGGCGAAAAGCGTGACCGAGTGCGAAGTGAGCCGGAGGAAATAGCTGTGCGCCTCGAATACGTCCGCGTCCTTGAATACCACTATCGATCCATTCCGTGTCATTTCGAAGTGCGTTGCTCATGCCTTCTCCACTGTTCTCTCTGCTGTGTTTGTGTTCTGTGAAGAGTTCTCCACCAGTTTTTTGATTACGTTTATCATGCGTTCATCTTATCCATCTCTTTTCAGATAATTGCAAGTGTTCAATTTCAAGTTACGCTGTTCGCGGACGGTCATGCAATCTAACGGGTTAGTTTTCGTTCTTGTTACTACGCTATAACATAGCGATCACAAAATTTGAGTTTTGCTAGTTTTTGTTTGGTGGAATCACTCAAGTTGATTGGAGATTCGTAAGTTATTGAAGCATAAGGAAGACTTCTTATAAGGGAACGATCCTAACTTGAGGTGGCAAATTGCAATGAACAGCATATTACTAGAAGCGTCTTGATGAGCTGATTCCAAATCTACCTTCCACATCTGCGATTCCGCTATCTAGAAAAAGCTATGAGAGGTTAAAAATGTAAAGACATTGAGGTTTAAATGCATAGTATGCTCTGAAATCCAACGTGAAAGTGCACGACTAGCATGATATTGAGTTTATTGATTTCAAGGAATGCTCACATCCAAAGAAAACACAAATAGGTCTTTTTGAACAACTAAAAAAGAACCAAATTCCCTTGATAAAAGCTGTGAGCAATGGAAAGTCCGAATTTCGCAAATATACAACGCCAAACCTCAAGAATTACTATATCAAAAACACTTCGTTGTGTTTTCGTTAAAGTGAACGTTTCTTGGAATCGGTACACGCATTATCATGCTAGTCATGCAATCAAAGTTGGAATTCAAAGCACATTGAAATCCCAATGACCTTTTCACATTTGACCACTCATAACTTCTTCCAGAAAACGGCATTGCAGATCTGAAAGGGATTTGGAATATGCACATCAAGACGCATCTAATGATGTGCGGCTCATTACTTTATTTGGGATCGTTCCCTTGTTAGAATGTCACTGTGATTCTTTTCGCAGTCAGTCGGATGACGAAAGCTTACTGCGTAAAGTAATAGCAACAGCCATGCATGTTTAAAATTACGAGTGACATTTACGATCAGCGTTCTAGCCCGCGAGCCAACGGAAAAGCGTATACTGACAGGGGTTGTTTTTCTTCGCTGGTTCGAGAAAAACGATCCGTGCTATATTGCTCTTCCGAGAGTCCTCAGATCATCTGATACACATGTAAACACTGTCGAAGTTGTGCTTTTTTAAGCTCAGTTTATCAGGCTTCAGCAGTCTCACGTGTGTGATAAATGCTCACCAGCATCTAAATTAATATCAGAAGTTTTTGCGAGGAGAAATGTTTTCTTTTGAGAAGGTAGTGAACATGGCGATAAAAAAAAGTCGAGAGTAGTTTTTGTGCAGTCATTCACATCTGATTTTCAAGTTAATAAGCTTTATTTTTGATGCTGTTTCGATATAAATAAAGTTGGCAAATTGCAGAAGTGACATGCTAGCTTCCATACCTATGCCAGGGAGTGCGCCTCCTCCCCCACCTCCTTCAGGAGCAAACGAAGCGTGGGAAAAAGCACAACAAGCTTTGAAGAAGGTAATAGGTCTACATCACATTTAGATCGCAGAAGTCAATTGTTTTTGTTCAGATATCTCCGAAGAAGCCTGCAAACAATCATCTGCCGTCGGCTGCTGCTCCTCCGCCGCCGAACGCACACGCTCTCATGATGCAGTACTACCCGTGGATGGCTGCTCAGTCATATGGTATGCAGTATCCTCCGCCTCCATTTCCTACGGGGTATCAGCAGCCGCAGCAGAACTATGCACAACTTATGACAAATAATCAACCATGGAACAACAATAAAAAAACGTGGAACAACCAGAAGCAGTGGAATCAACGACCGCAGCAACAGCAGAAGCAGCCGCAAGCTCAAGCTTCGAAGAAGTTTACTCCGTTCGCACTAGCACCTAGAGTTCCAAATCAGAAGACATTTCCGCCACCGGCACAACCCGCAGCTACTAGTCTAGCACCGGGTGGATTGGGTGCGATGCCAGATAATGTCAAGTACGTTTGCTTAAGTTATTTTCATAATTATATGACCCCGATATCATGTGCTGACTGATAACACATGCTAAAGTAGTACTAAGGCGAAGCCACCGAAATAATGGGTTGCAGTCATTAGTACAAAGAAGGAAAGCTTCCCCTTTGCCTTTCCGCGTAATGTTATATTATGCTCATGACCAAATTTTTATCTCATCTCTACAAATACCGAAGTCCAAAAAATTTTAGTGCATCTATCGCTTCTCGACTCCTTTTTACGTGAGAATGAATTTAGGTTGTCAGGCATGAGGCAATAAAAGCCAGCAGCCTTTGCCTTTGTAAGTGCCTGGAGAGCTCCAGACTTCCGCGCCTTTGATAGCTTCTTCACACTTTGCTTGCATGGTTTATACCATTTCCGCGAATAAGCATACAGGCGATTTTGTACAAGCAAGGCTTTACGGATGCAAACGATTTATACTTGTAGGGATAATTAGTTCGTTGGACTTCTTTGAACCCAAAGAAATGCTGCGAAATACGGTTTTTGGCAAACCCAAAAAATTTTGGAACAGAAAGGAAGAATCTGCTATGAATAGCATATTCATAAAACTTCAATAGCAAGTATTTTCTGGTCGAGGTAGATTGATCATTGAAATCAAGATCCGAATATGTTACCAGCAAACTCCCGACAAACGTGTGGTATCCACTGAGCAGGACTGAGGACTGACTAATTTTATTGGCGAATTTTTTTGTAAGCTGTAGGATTATGATATCAATCATCACGAAACTATTCTTGGCGCATCTACTAAAGACTTGCAACATTACTTAGCAATGATTCTACAAGTTTAAAAATCAGTGATCATCTCGCTTTATGCAGCACTTGTGGAGCTCATGCTAACCGGTAAGCCTGATAAGTGGTTAGAAGTGCAAAGAAACTAATAGTGATGCGAGCGAGTCTGTAGCTAAAATACTTTTCATAAGCAGAAGCAGCGAGCCTTGGGTGGCGGTCAAGATGAACGATAGCATGTGCCAGCCGCCAGCTGGGTACCGTACGCGGTGCGCTGATCGCTCCGCCCCCTTGTTAATCAGCCTAGGAGTGCTTTGCAGCTATTGGAAATCTCTCTAAATACTTCGTTTATGTTTCTTCGGTTGGTTGCAAATTGGATAACAATATATTTCAAATTTCAGTTAAGTTAAAAATCAATTTTCAAATCATTGTAAAATTAATTCGCAAGCTCTTTTTAACGTATTTCAATTATTTGTTCCTAGTAGGCTTGTCCAAAACGATTTTTCATTGCAAGTAAGAGGAAATTGTTTCGAAAATGCTTGGAAAAGTGATTTCTCTATTCAGATCTGTTACCATATTGAATATGCTTTGTTGTGCACTCTCAAGTTTAGTTAAAAAAGAAGTCAGCTTATCGAGAAATACTATTATTATTGCTAAAATGACCAACACCATTATCTCTTTTATCGTAAAAGAAAAAAAAAACCTGATCATAGCTAGAAACAGATTTCATTGCGACGAGAATTCAAAACAAGCATTATAGGCGAACTTTTTTCAAGCAAACTAACTCGTTTTGCAAATATGCGATCATATCGCATAAATTTTCTCAGATTTCAGGAAAATCACACTGCACTTACAAATTTTCGAATTTGCCTTAAATATCAAAATCCTTTTATTTTGCTTCCAAAAACTGTTATCCTCAATATAAATCGATCTGTAACTCAATCGAACTGCGTGTGAACTAGTCGTAAGATGTGAGGTCACTCAAACATCATGCCTGAGGTGTTCTGGATTGATTTCACACTTCAAAGTTGGATATCCAGGAGTCACTCGGTCATCCATAGGTAAATCAGCAGATCTCTCGAATTTCACGACCAACACATCAGCTGTTCATTGATGCCAAAAAAAGAAAAAAAATTAAAACAAGATTCTGTAAATAGTCAAGCTTCACCCCAGATTGTAGCAAGCTTATATCTTACTATCAATAGTTATTATTTTTACTTGACGGTATCGTTCGAGAAACTCGTCCGCCGCAGTAGGGCGGAGCTTCGAGCGAACACGTTATTGCCAGTTCATGACCCCGCGCGCCACTGGTACCAGCTATCGTTCGTCTTGACATATACCCGCGAGCCTTTGCCGCCTCATGCTCGACCACCAAATTATACTAAAAAAATGCCAATACGATTCTTGGAAGGGTTCATCCACATATTCATTCATCACTTCGTTTTTTTGATATTCGGACAATTATGTGATTATTTTGTAACAGAGGCAGATTTGTAGCGATAAAGATCACAAAACAAGCTACTTCACTTTTTTCTCATTCCTAGACAAGACTTTATCTATCTCAAACTGAGGTCTTCAAATTACATGCACCATGATCGCTGGTGGTCAACACGTTTGTGCATACAGCAGAGTATTTCTGATAGATGCACTTTGCAATAGTAAGCTTACAAAAAGCGAACAACAAATGCTGAATATTGATCGAAGTTGTATCGTCAGCCATATGTGTGATGCACATCTCATATCGTTGCTCCTGTTCAAATTTTGCAGTTGCTTGTGCTTTTTTGGTAGAGTTTGGTACGTCATTACAAGATTTGATCGCTTTGTTCCAATTAGCTAATGATTGGTTGAAGTTCGACGTTGGAGTCCAACTTTTACCAGTCTTTATATAGAGAACTGTTATTTTTTGCTTATTAATTTTTTTTTGCTTATCCTTATTTTCATAGCAAGGCACGGACCAGCAGTTCATATATAGACTTTTTAGGCGCTACGTGGAACGAGCGTATCTGGCAGCACAAAACGCCGAGGATCGCCAGAAGGTGCAGGAGTATCTGGAGAAGCGGCTGCGACCGCTGTTGTTGGCGGGTACGACTCGAGCCGTTGATTGGGATCACGAACCTCTACCACACGAGCGGAACTACGAGTTACCTGTTGCTTGGACTCCAGCAGCCACCCTACGAGCTTCGCTCCAAGCCAATATAAACAAGAGCACAACGCAACACCATCCTAGACGTGGTGATCATGATCGTAAGCGGTCGGCATCGCCAGACGACGATGCTCAGCCGAAACGTGACCGACGTAGCAGTAGCAGTTCAAGTGATGTGGAAGTTATCAAAGTCAAGGTGTCGGCGCGTAGAATTTATTTTATGAGGGGTTAAAACGTAGTCTACGACCAAATTAGTGAAATCATCCTCAGCATACTGATACCTCATTGCAGCTCATGCTGTTCATGAATAGCGCTACTAGCAGTCTCGTCAAATTTTATGGTTGTCTTATTGCTTTTTGCTACGCTGAACGCAACCGTCCTAGTGCTTGCGTCCTTTTTTTGGATTTGCGCAAGTTTGGCTAGTAGTGCGCAATCATGAACAAGCTTTTTTATTTTTGAATCATCTTTTAGTTAGTGATTTGCTTTCTATTTCAATTTCAGTCTACTGTGTCGAAAAAGAAATCTAAGAAAGAGTTGAAACGAGAAGCGAAGGCTGCAAAAAAGGAGAAGATGAAGAACAATGGTCAAAAACAACAGAAAAAGGAGCCGCCGCACTGGCACATTGAGGAGGTACCGTTTTTTCCCTTCACCTTTTACATCTTTTTTCCGTATCGTTTTTGGCATGGAGGCCTATGTAGTTGACTGAATGCAGTTGTCATTAGAATTTTAACCGCAAGATTTGCATTTAGGATTCTGGAAGGATGGAGGAAAGAGCTCGTAGGTTTGCTGATGACGCACGCGTGGCAGCAGCGACAGCTGCAGCGTCATCGCGTCCCATTCGCCTTCGTCTTGTTAAGGGCACATGTCAAAACATTGAAAAGAGCTTTTTCAGGCTAACTGCGGTTCGTTTTTGTCTTTTACATGAGGCCCTGATAATCGTTCGTGTCTTAGTAAATGATTTTAGGCGCCAGATCCTAGTCAGGTACGTCCACCAGAAGTTTTAGAGAAGTCGCTGGAGAATGTGAAAAATAAGTATCGAGAGGGAGCGTCATATCAGTACCTATCAGATCAACTCCGGTCTATCAGGCGAGTCATTTTTGCTTCTAAATTTTCATTTTGTGTAAACGTAGTAGCTAAAAGTGAAGTCTATTTATATATCTTGTATAGAGCCATTTCGCGTCTGTTTTTTTAGGCAGGATCTCACAGTGCAAAGAGTAAGGAATAGTTTCACAGTTCAGGTTTATGAGATTAATGCCAGAATAGCATTGGAAAATAAGGACAGTCAGGAGTTCAATAAGGTTTGTGCTGATTCGCTCCATAGTTTGCTTGAATCCAACACTTCCTTTTTCAGTGTCAAAGTCAACTGAAACTTCTGTATAGTGAGATTCCTCACTGTCAGAATGAACCAGAATTTTTAGCTTACCGTTTGTTGTATTACATAGCTATGGCCAACACATTAGACATCTCATCGTTGTTGAAAGGTAACGTGAACGCAGTCGTTTTTGGAAATTTTACTCTTGTGATTGGATAATTTTTTTTTCAGGCCTGCCGGACTCGGTGCGATCGGACGAATGTGTGTCTTATGCTTTGAAAGTTCGACGAGCTGTGTCTTTAGGAAATTATCCCACTCTTTTTAGGTTGTTCAAGGTCAGTTTCTGTTTGTTCAGCTAATTCTAGTGCAGTTAAGCTTTTTTTTTCGATGCCTAAAATGAGTAGGATGTTTGCCTTGCTAAATAATCTTGTTGTTGAATGCCAATAACCTAATTTTGAGTATGACAAAGCTAGTCAGTAATGATCTAATCGAAAAGCCCGAGTCAATAGCATAAGTTTCAGAATGCTCCTAAAATGTGTCCATTCCTGATGGATTTATTTGTTGAACGTGAACGCAAGGCTGCGTTGGTACAGATTTTTAAAGCGTAAGTTTCTTTGTTATATTATTATTTAATTTGTTTTAAAGTTTTTGAGTCTTTGGCTACGAGTTTTACATGTCTACGTTCAGGTTCCGTCCAACAATCCCAGTTAGTAAGGTGAGTGAATGGTTGGGTATGTCCGAACCAACGCTTGTGGAATGGTTGAATTTGCTGGAAATCAATTGCGAAGTTGGTGGTACAATAGACTGTCGTACATATGCGACGAAAACATTTTAATGGGCGTAAAAGCCTCAGCTCAGTTTTATCACTTGGTACAAAGATATGTCTATGCATGCACGCTATCAGGCAAACTTTTGATCTCCTGCGATTCGTGCAGAAAATTAATGTCGGATTCAATAATCCTCATAGTTTTTAGGTCGGTAATGTCATCAGGTATACTAATATTTTTGATACCCGAGATTCTAGCATACGGTGTCTTTTTTCAATGTGTGTGTACATAGTGCGTTGTTATCTATCTATGTTAAATAATTACACAGAGAGGAATAAAAACTTATTATCAGATAACATGGACTATACATTTACGAAAAGAATAGAAATCAATAACACAGACTGCAGTGAGAGCGAGCTAGCGTGCGTGCGCGCAACACCGCAAAAGCGAAGCGCAGCACAACGACGCAAGTGTGGTAGTGTGGCGTATACGGCACGGAAGACGACGCATGACGTTGACGACGTAACACTTTGCTGTTAGTAGGGTGTGAACCGTGCTCCACTTGCCTTGTGAGCAGAACCAGCCGGTGAATTGGCACCTTTGAGCAGCGGTGCTCCCATCAACACACTGAATTGTAGAAACAACAATAGCCGGTTTGGTTAACATAGTAGATAAATAGAAAAAGAAAACATAGTGAAAACTATTATTTTAGCTAAGGACACGAGGTGGTAGAATGGACAAAGAAGCAATGCTAACGAAGCTAAGTTGGCTTGTAGTAAGCTTGATTGGAATCTCTTCTTGAAAACGGCTGGAAAAAACTTTTTATTTTTGAAAAATAGGTCGTTATAGGTGATTCATCGACCGCAGGGGTAGCCGCTTTTGCGGAACCGCGACGCGCAGTAGAAAGTGTCATTCAGTCTTACCAGTCGTTCATTTAGAACGCTGCAGCCGCGCATCGCATGCTGTGCAATGTTGGCCAGTCCGTGCGTTTGATGAATAACCTATTTTACAAAACTTCAAGGAAGTTTCTGTACTGCGGATCACTTCTCTTTTTAAATGAGGTTCAAAACTTTGAATTTTTTATAACTCACTACAAGCCATATCAACATAAACAAAGGGGTTGTATCGTTTTGACGAACATGCAAGAAGTCTCCGAAATGCTCTCTCAAAATCTATTCTGTTGCTCATAAAAATGCTTTATTTCAATCTCTAATTGCTCATTTTGTGGAATGTCCGGCGTTTTCGAGAATTCGCCTAACGTTCTCTACCTGCTGTTGAGTGCTGCATATTGGTTGATCAGCTCCAACTGTCGTTCTTCATTCCATAATCCAGTTATCGCATTCGTCTTTGACGGATCCGGCATTCCGTTACCAACGGTACCTTGTTGATTAGTCGGATATGCTCCGGCACCGGTCAGAAACAAGCCGCCAAAGACTAAAATATTTTTGAAGGTTTAGCTGGGAAAATTTTAATTATCTGAAATTGACAAGAATTTTTGTAAAGAAAAGAGGATTAGGTAGCTAGACACCAAGGACGATGGCAGTTGCGATTTGTCGGAGCACATTACTACTGTATTTGCATTCTGCTCAGGATAGGAAGAATGTTTGTGAAATAGTTGACTATTTTGCCTTACAGTGGCAGGATTTCGGGTACTAAGGTCCAGTCGCGGATGAAAGTGGATATCGAATTGCGTTGTTGGCACACCGCTTCATCTGCTTATAGTCATCTGTAAAATTTGCGTGTTGCGCCCCACGAGCTGTACCTCATGACCCCTACGCTTAACTATTTTAGGCTTGCGCACTTGATCCGCTTCGTCATTGGTCAATTTAGTGAACTGACCAATAGTGAAGCGCATGAAGTGGATCAAGCGAACAACCGCTTCGCTATTGGTCAGTTCACTAAACCAACCGATGACGAAGCGGATCTTGACTAAGCGGATCAAGTATGGCGACTACCTTAGGCAACCAGTATGTAATAGTACACATTTCAACACTTTGCTCTCCAACATTCGAATGAATCTGTGTGAGGAATCGTGATTTTTGCGCTTAGTGTACAACGCCCATTTTAACACGTTGACGACCGAGCCATTTTTGACCACCTCAAAATGGACTGATGATCTACGGCTGCGCTTTGGGCTGTTTAACAGCTACCGCAATGCCGTGTGTTCTATATGACAACCAGGCCACCAGTGTTATTACTGCATAGAAGTTACCTGAGAAATTTTCGTTTACACATGATAAATTGATGCACGAAAGTGCTACAAGGTGGTCAGGGCGTGCATACGCGCGGATACACACGGTCGTCAACGTGTTAAAGGCAGTGTCCTGGCAGATTTTGCACCTCCACCTTTTTGCATGTTTTAGGCCTTTTCGCCACGTAGAATCCGAATTTGAGCATTGAACGGGCTGAAAAGGCCGATTTTGGGGCGTTTTCCTAATTCCAGAAAAACGGCTTGGACGAGATTTTTAATGGAAAGTTGGTGGAGGTCCTCAAACGAAGACCCTGCCGCCTGTAATTCTTACTTTAGATAGCATGCATCATGGGGGAGAGCGCTCGTGGGGTCCCGCGCCGAACAGGCGGGGAAGACCGTCCAAGCGCGCGCCAGTTGGGGTTGCGCGCGCCGGTTCAAGGGCCATTTTCTCGGCCCAGGGGGAACATCACCCAGCCGGAGTGCGCCTGGAGGCCGATGGGATGACCAGGAACCCCACCACACGTACATCCCCCAGGACCCGAATCTGCCGGGACACTGCCTTTAACTCACAAGTGTCTATACTGGGAAAGTGCCTGTGGACCGTCCCTTTTCGGCGACTATGTGTCATATGTCGCTGTCATTTGTAAAAAATACGCAACCTTACATATGCTCGGAGGTGCGTTATTGCAAGAAGCCCGCGCGGGATTCTCCCACACTCAGCGACATATAGTCCTCTACCCGTCTGAACTTAGACGCTGTGGCCCTTCATTCACTGGACTCCAACCGCGTCCGTGACAGTGCGACATACTCTATCCTGATGAAACTGGTAGATCACATGACCTGTCTTGTCAATCAATGGCGTCATCCATCGATTGGCGTCGCTTCATTTTTCGGCGCATCTGCGCCAGAAGCTGACGCTAGTATTCATTATGATAATCTTCCTGTTTCTGCTGATTTTTCGTGTTTCCGCTCCTAATGCCTGATTAGTATGAATATTTTCTAGTCCCCTTCTATATTGCTTTTGCTTCTCAGTGACTTCGATAGGTGAGTACAACCCCAACCAGGCCAAAACTGGCATGGCGGGAGACCGCGTCGCTAGGGTTTCGCGGTCACGCCCACGGCCTGCTTCTCTGCCCTCTCTTCAATCTTTTTGCTCTCTCCAACAGCGCGCACATGCAGCGCAGACCACTAGCGCTGCGAGCGCGCAAATACGCCGACGGTTCGGCCTGATCCCGATTGGCGCAGACTGTACAACTATTATTTAAGTGTAGTAGTCGATCCAGCAGCCGCCTATGCCTTTGAAACAATTGCAGACTAACTGTAATAGGGCCGAGTATATTCTGAAATAAACATATGCTTCCCCAACATAGCGACGCAAACAGCGTACATTTCGGAATGCGTGCAAATGTGTGATTGTCACAGTTTGACTAAAGATATTGCCAGCTCCGCATTTATACTTCACCTATTCCACCTCACGGTCGCAGATCTATGGGCATTAAGCAAGACAATGCCACATGGCCTGCAGGCTGTGCATCGCAAGATTACAGAACGAAAAGTTGCGTTGTTGTTTCGCGTAGGCCAAGTGGCATTGTCTTGCTTAATCTAAAAATCTGTAGTATGACCTATTTATATCATCCGCTCCGCGACTACTGCTGCGTATCTGACCTGCCCTAAAATTTACCCTCTGAGCATTTTCCCATCTCAGTAGCCCTCATGCTGCTGAGGAGTGGGATGCTAGAGAATACGTCCACGAATGCGCGCACGGCGCGAGTGAGGCTGCCGCAAGGTCCGATCCGTTAGAGCTGTGACACTGTAATGGCACAGCCTAGAGCTAACATTTCGATTTGATAGTACATATACTTTCCTTGCGGTGCCAAAATAGGGCGGTAAAATTTGCGCGTACCAGATACTATGCCTGTAATGCCGACAATTTGCGTGTATAGTTAACGGATTGCGGACTTTCTCCGATTGTAAGGATAAGGTTAATGAGAGAGTACGAAAAACAATGCTGCAACGTGGAAGTTCAACGAGTTTATCTCTATAATTAGGGGTATACTGCAACCCGCCTCCGTAGAATCTGAGAGCCGATACAACGTATAGAAACCACACAATCTTTTGATTGTGTGGTTTCTATACGTTGTTTCATGGGACGCTGACTGGCATAATCTTGCAGGGAGATAGCTGAACTTTGCTAGCAAAATGGTATGTATCTAGCTTATACTGGGTGGGACTGCAAAGTCGATGAGAGTTTCCCTACATATGGTGAGCGATAGGGCATGCAAGCTGCGCCAAATGCATACGTATATGTAAAGTGTTTCAGCTGTCCAACTCCCTAACGAATTGCTTGAACTAGTCACAAAGACGCACTGTTGCACTGTACGCAGCTTGCACACTTCTTGCGTCAGCTCTACGGATTTTTCGTGTGCTCCGACAAATCTTGATTTTTCTTGTGCTGGTCACAGCGACAGAGTTAGAGTTGCAAAGCTGATCATTCTGTCACGTTACATGTATTTTTTGGAAATGAAAGAGTTGGATGCAGAGATAAACATAGGAACGAATACTTTGGCCATAGTGGGTATGAGTGAGGGAAGAAATAACCAAAAGGATCATTGGTGACAGTGATATATCTTGCGATTCGGACGCACACATATACACACACATCCACACAACCATCTTTGTCAAATACGCTTTAGCATTAGTGCTTGCTGCTGGGGTTTCGTTGATGGCGAGGAATAGCAAAAGCAGCATTCTAGCAGGTGGGGAATGCGAACAGTAGGTGGGATCGGCTTAAACTAAAATCAAATTCGACAGCTACGTTCATGCATAGCGAGGAAAATTTTCCCAATCTCGGCGCTGGGTTTCGGGCGATCCTGCGGATTTGCTCAATGGTGTGATGATGTGTGTGTGATTTGCGTAAACGCGGGAATCGGGCCATCTACTTGAGTGTATTTTTGTATTTTCCGTGTGAGATTTAGCCACAAAGAGTGTGTGTAGTAGGTGTTTGGAAAAGAATATAGATAGAGAGATAGCAGTACCTTGGGGATTGAGGGTAGGAGCGGGAAGGAAGGCGGAGGCCGGCCCATATTGCGCCGACGCTGGAACACCACGCGCCAGCTGAAAACACACAAAAAACGACGTGTGGATGTGGTGGACATCACTCCAAGCACTGTTCTGAGAGCTGGCAGTTGACGACCACATTTGATCAGCAAAAAACACGAAGAACGTATACATCTATTGTACATCTAAGGCAACGTAGTAGTGCTTTTCCCGTAGACTCATGTGGTTAGTATGATGGACGGATGGGAAAACTCATCTTAGTGTCAGCCGTCTTATATTTATTCGTAGAAATGACCTAGAATTCGCTATGATCTCATCTAGAGGGTTTGCTTGAGGCCTTGGACAGAATCCACGCGATTTGATCGTCGCGATTCAATCGCTGCGGACAACTGTCACGAGTTCATTGCATATCGATCTTCTTGTACTTCGGTTGTGATAGTTAGTCACGATTAGTCGCGTTGGAGAACTATCACAACCGAAATGCAAGAAGATCGACACGCAATGAACTCGTAACACTTGTCTGTAGCGATTAAATCGCGACGATCAAATCGCGTGAACTCTGTCCGAGGCTTGATATGGTGAAACAAAAATCGAGGGTTTATGGTGAATATAGCCTGAGTACTGTAGCCCAGAGTTATGTTACGCCTAACCCTCAGAATCACAAGGCTTATAAAAGGTAATGGATATCCGTATATCCACCATAATCCAGCAAACTTCTCCTTAAAAACTCAATCTAATGATTACGAAAAACTTGTGAAATAATCTTACACCTCAGTATCAAACAAATCTGCTTATCTCTGACTGTATCCGCACAGGTAGTAATTTAGCGAACGCTTTTTCTTGCGGTGCGACATTGGGCGACACATTTGCGCGTGAACAAACAGCTACGCTTAAAATGGCGGCATGATGCACGCACAATGCTGTCATCACAGACGTGGCTATTTGTTCACGCGCGAATGTGTCGCCCATTCTCGGCACCGCAAGAATACTGTCTACGGGGTTAGATCTACTATATAGTATTGAGTGCGTATTTTGGATAGATCTAGTTTCAATAACATCTTCTCTTCTCGAAAACTATAAGAGCTATACTTTAACATATACTTTATGACTGAGCCTTCCATCCGCCATCCGTTTTGATAGTTCCAGAAGAAGTACCCATGTAACTAGTGAAATAGAAACTTGTAAAGCGTATATGACCAATAACGTACCATAAATAAATAACATAAATCATACAATGAAGCCATGAGACCTTGATTAATACGTTTTTCTTAGTGGTGATTTTAGTTGTGTAGTACATCTGGCAGAACGATTACTGCATGCGTTGCACTATGAGAAAACATCGGGGGAATATACTTTGGAAAGTGTGTCAGGATAATTGGCAAGAAATGTCATATCATGGCAGTCATTACTATAACTTCTACTAGTGACCGTTCATGCGAATGCAACACGAAAATAGCAGGGAAAAGCGGGGAGCATCACATCGCTAACCTTCGGGGAAAAATTGATTGAAATTGACGAAAAATTACTAAACAACTGTGGAACCTAAAACGAACGTACCTCGGGAGGGAAAAGTTGAGCAAGCTGGGCCTGTTGCAGAAAACTCGGTTGCAACAAAGCAGCAAGCTGTTGTTGTTGAGCTGCAGCAGCTGCTGCTGCGGAACTAGCCACTAGCAATGAATTGAAGGTCGGTTTCGGCCGATACGGTAATGTGGCACCTTTGGGCGGGGCCTAAAATTGACGGTCGCATTAACTTATTTAAGGTTTGCTAAAGTTCAGTGCCCACGCACATCTGGTTCTCTGGTTTTTTTTAAAATCTGAACTGTACGAGAAGACATGTACTAAGCCTTTGATAAAATGGCAGCTCATATGATTCATCCATGAGAGAAAAGTCAACTCTTAAAGGCAGCGTACACCCAAAACAAATGCAAGAGATGTTGCAACAGTAACTGCAACTGCAAATGCAGCTTACGCTGTTATGGATTCGTTCGGAGGAGGCGGAGCGAAAGAAAATGGGCGTAGTGAAAGAAAATTGAGGGGAGTTTTCTCCGCTCAGAAGCAACATTGGGAGACCGGACCAACGCAGTTGGTCTTCTTCTGGGCCCAGTATATACACGGTGAAAAATCTATAGGCAACTTAGATTTTGGGTGTACGCTGCCTTTAACCACAGCTCAGACCGTACCACCGCTTACTGGTCTACTCGGAAACACTGCGGTCTGAGCTGTGTTTTAAGCTACATTTCTCGGCAAGGAATAAATCATCTGAGTTCCCGCTCGGGCAATGGCTTAACCAGGACCTCCTCATTAGTATCCAGATAAAATGTACAGGTCAAGGAGCGGTACTGAACAATCTCCTGGGGCAGTATTTATCAATCTTCTATTTGGGAAAGGGGTCCTGTACAGATCACAGCCCGAATAGGCGTGGACACTGGCGCCCGCGATACACGGAGCCAAGCTGGTGATTGGGCTCCTGTCTGTTTGAAGATATAGTCCGATCTGGCATGTTTGGTCATGTCGGGCACGGCAGGTACCCGATCATGCCCGATCGTGCCCGATCTCGACAGATCGGGCCCTGCTGCCCGTTTGGGCCACGCGCCCCAAAATTTCATAAATCATGGGATGGCGCTCTCGCCTATCCGGGCACTCGTCAATAATGACCCAACGAGTGGGAGATTGATAAATACCCCCCCTCTCCCTGATCTCTTTTTGAGCGTCGTTGTGCGTTATAAATAAGCGCCCGATCGGGCGATGGGTGCTCGTTTGTTTATAACGGTAAACTATATGTCAAGAGTTGTCGTATCAAGGCATTCAACTGATTGTGCTGAGGATACTTTTTTATACGATTCAAAATTTATCAGTTTGAAATCCTCCCCCCCCCCCCCATTTCCGCCTTCTCTTTCTTTCTATCAATTCGTCTGCCATCTTCTATTCCTTTTGTTCCCTCTGAGCCCCTATGTATAACGTTGCGCTTGCGTGGTAAGTGCCGCTGAAGTAGAAATTGGAAGAAAGCCTGGTTGCTTAAGGCAATAGAATTACGCGCGGAATTGCGAATTCGGAGCAAGATTGGCACCTCCGTGATGAGCGGCGACAAGTTGATAATGGACATCCCCTAATCACAGTGAATTAGGACATTTCGGAAGCAATGGAAAGATAGTTCCTTATAAGTTGATTGGCGAAACAAAAAGAAACAAAAAATGGTTTCTAATCTCAATACAGAAGCTGTGAACGAAGACGTATCAGACTTAAACTCAGCTTCATCTTATTCTTAAATAAAGGGCTGCGTGATCCATCCGTTGTTTTGATTTTATCAGTAAAATTTAAATTTTATATTTGTCTGAAATGTTCAGTTAGCATGCAAACTGCAACGGCGCGGATTTACCCGTGGGCGTATCTTCTTTTGAACTTGTCACCGCGCCGCATCAGCTTGTGCATTGTCTGCGTCTGTTTTTGATCAAACCATAATAAAAAGTAGCTTTTGAGGAGCAAGTCCAGTTGTGGGACTACTTGTGATTTTGCTGCCCCAAATTGGCAGCACGCAAATTAACAGCACATACCTCTAGCAATATTTGACAAACTTGTCCTATACACAAATTTATTGCGTCAGCAGTACCGGATACGGTAACAGCACGTTCCGTAGATTGTGGCAACATCTCAGATGCAACTTGGATAGATGCTCCAGTAGCCTGAAATATATTCAGTTTGCTTGAAAAGTATGAGAGTTTCTTTGTAGTCATTGAAGTGCGGGACTAGTTCTCCGAGAAAATTATCACAAGTGGACAACATAGGTAGTCCCTTAGTACTTGTATTTTTTTGATTTTTTAAAATCAAAATTTGCGCTAATTTGAAGGGCACATTGTGTGAAGAGTGTTTAGTTCGTTGACAAGAAGATAAAGTTAGTTTTAAAAAAGAAAATTCAAGGTTCATATTGGTTGGATTTTATTTGGCTTAACGTCCTTTGTTATAGTTTTAGAGCGAACTGGATAAAGCGCATTTTCATCCTTTATCTAGACGAAAAATGAACATGTTCATCTGCACCAAGCCAAGTCTATTTTTTTCCGTCGCAATTTTTTAGTGCAACTTTTGCTTCACCTCTACATTCCCTCCCTTTCCCCCTTTTTCCTCCCTGCACCTATATGCCCCCCCCCCCTGATGTGCTGGGTAACATTCGACATTTCCCTTGTCAGTGCTAATAATGTTCGCAAATTTACGTGACTATGCGAGCTTACCAGGTGAAAACTGTCAAGACGAAGCTTTTCTTGCTTTTTGACGGAGAAATTTCGATGATTGATGGAGGTTTTCGACTAGGCAACGCTTTGCTCACTGATAAGCCGTGCAAAAACTTCGCCGTCGTAAATGACTGTGGAAAAAAGTTTATTAGTTGACAAATGGTGATTAGTATGCCATCGTAGGCCACTAAAGCATTTGTACTGTGTTGCCATACAATTAAAAAAAAATGATGGAATTTGGTGTCACATGGACCTTCAGCGGCTTAACAAATTCTGACGAAACAACCAAAAAAATGTGGGATTTTGCGATCTAAAAACACTCTATTACAGAGTTTTTCTCCTCCGATCTCAAGCGGTTAGCTCACGAAAATTGCATAATTTAGGATATACTTTTCCCTCGGGGATCCCTAAAGCATTTGCAGCTTCAACTTTATTCTCACGATTCTTTTGCTCAGAAAGGAAATTTCATTCACACGGAGATAAGCGTTTGCCGAAGGCTTACACAAGTAGGATTTTCCTGTTTTTGCGAAGAGAATCTAGCGCAGTAGGACCAGTTCAGGGTATTAGACTTGCTGGCGCATTTCGACGGTCATTTCATGATGATCAACCGTTGAAAATTTTTTGAGGTTTCAGATACTAGCGTGTTTTACAACGTAGATTTCACTGTTTTCAAAAAGGTCGATAGGAATGTGTATGGCAAAATCCATGATTCAATGCTTTTACTCGTTCTTCGAAGTGTGTTTCGAAATTTTCTGCTCAAAAGTGATGACATTGAATAATAAGTAATGACACACATTATAGCATTGTGTTGCCATAATCTTGGCAAGGCGATTCGGACTTGATAAGAAGGTGGAAAAAGCTGTTAGGTATACTGTACATCGAGCGAAAACGGTAATTGGCTGGTTAACATTACAATATTTACGGCTTTGCTCAGTTGTCCAAAGTTTAAGAGGCCTTACAAAACAGCAAAAAAAAAGGTGTTTTGGGGATAGAAGGATATGTTAGAAGGATAGGTTCTCAATGATCCATGTCATCTACCTTTCGACACCCTGTTGATTGACGCAGAACATCTTTTCTTCACTGGTTGAGTATGAAGTTTTGAAATCCCAAAGCGTATCTTACCTCTCGAATCTCCTTAATTTTTGAGCCGCTTTTTCCTATAAGTGAACCGCATTGTGTTGCTGGAACGATTAACCGCATCGTGATCGGCGGTTTTGGAACTGAGTTTGGTAGGGCACGCATATCCTGAAAAAAGGAATTAGAAGAAAGGAAAAGTAGTGAGCGAATCCTTTTAATTATCTGTAGATTGTAAGCATTTTTCTGAATTTTGGCATAGACTAGTAGCAGCTAGTTTTTGTTTGAGAAAATCTAATTTTGCAAGAAGTCATTTGTGAGCTGTTAATGTTTGCAAAAAGCAGGGTTAGCTACAGTACTCTTGGCTAGCGGGATTTCTATAAGTGTTCGTTTTTATGACAAGGAAAAAAAACGGGCTCGGATTTCTTGCATTAGCATCATGAGTTTGATTACATGCAATTTTTTTAGCATGCAAGAACTTAGCAGTCAGAAGAAATGGTTCCGGCATGAAAAGCATGAGTTTTCTGCTGTGGAAATCGAGATTTCAGTGACAACAACTCCTAAAATGGGATTTATGCAAACCAGATGAGTTGGAACGGTGGATAAGTTATTTACTTTTGGTTTTGATGGTGCTTTTTTTGATAATTGGAATAGATTTTGTTTCTACTTTATTTATTCAACTATTTGGGCTATCGTGTACTAGCAGTACTTTGTATCGAGGGTTGCTGAGTTTGTCAAATGATTATCAATTTCTTCGATATCTTTCATTGTCAAAAACCTTCTTGAGCCCGCAGATGTACTACCAGTCATAATCAACGAATGATTTACAAAAACGGCATTAAATTAGCCACAAATCGCGCATGCGCCAACCATATGGTGACTTTCAAAAGTTCTCTCGCACTACTTAGCTGCTGTTTATATCGAAATTCATTTTCCACTCTGTCCTTTTCTACTCGGGAACTCTTCGTGGGCGTCTCACAGCAAAAGAGAAAATCTAAGAAAAAGCGAAAAAGCTGTGCGCGCAGGTTACTTGAGCTGAGCGAGCGGCGACATTCGATCCGAGCTTTGCTTCGAGAAGACGAAATTCGAGAACTCGCACGAGAGACGAAAGGATACAGCATTTGAGAGATAAAGAACTCTCCACACATAGTATACATTGGTTACAAGGAGAGCTTTTGGGTTTTTTCTTCGTACAAATGAGGAATTTTTTGAGCAAATGGTGATTCTTTTTTGGGAGAAATAGAAATTCCTAGAGAAGTAAAATCTTACCTCTTCAAATTTATTGGAGATCATAGCAAATGCTTTATTTATTGTCGCTAAACTTCCAGTAATAGTCACTATACGTTCTGGACATGAACCATCTGATATATTGATTTTTGCACCAGATTCTTCTCGAATCCGTTTGATTTGATCACCACGTTTACCGATTATACTTCCAACTTCCTACAAATGAGAAATTTAGCAAATCGTCAAAAAAAAGCTTCGTCAACGGGAAATAATGAAGGACTCACTTTTCCTTGCATGAGCAGTCGAATCGTGAGCAGAATATTCATATTTGGTGCTACACCAGGTGAACTCGACGATGAAGGATCAGCCGAATGTTCGGAAGTGTTACTGTAAATTAAGTAATTTTGAGAAGTGCAATTTGAGTCAATCAAAATATCGTAAATATTATCCTGAAATGAGCTATTATTTTATCGAGCGAGAAATGGTCCCTGAAGAGCACTTATATCTCATTGCCTCTGGTGTGAAAAACGTCAAACAGCCGCGATTTCAAATACGATGCATGCAAAGCTATTTTCAATAAATTTGAAAGATGGATGTGCAACGAGATTTTTAGAACTTATTACGTACTCATTTCTATTGTAATCAGAAAATTGAGAGAAGCAGTATCATCAGCTATTTTGAAGTGAGCCAGAGCTTTATCGAGCGAGAACTGGTCCCCAAGGAACATTTACAGCGAAATTATCTTTGATGCGACTCGTCAGATTCAGCCATGATCTCAAAAATACTGCACCAAAAACCTATTTATATTAGAATATCCAAAAAATGGGTGCAATGAAAATTATCGGATCGAAGACAAGTTTTGGAAAGTTGAGAAAATTCTCGGTGAAAGAACGCATATGGCCAACATTTTTGGACTGTGAGTGATCACAGTAACCACCTGAAAACATCTGAAACCCCTCCCCCTCCCCGATCATTCGGGTTGGTTCTGCATGTTTAAACCTCTTAGGTACACTGATGAGACGAGAGGTTGTTGCGACGAACAAGCCAGATGCTCAAGAAAAAAAAAGCCAAAAATGGTTCCCCCCTTCCCCTGTTCGAGGCCAAACACTATGTGAACAGTAGCAAATAAGGAACACACACACTTACCCATTATATGATTTCGTCGACATCGCTCCGGTGGCGTACGCCGACGTGGGCAATCCCATACCGTAATGTACATATGACCCGTTCAACAGAGGATCCATCTGTAAAAGTCGGGTTTTTTATGCGGGTGAAAGAACTCAAGTGCATCGCATCACAGATAAGGCATTTAACGAACGATCAAAACGATATCAGTTGAAGCGAATTAGTCATAAATGACTACAGAGGGAGAGAGTGGGGAGAATTTTCTGGCAACCGCGAAATTGTAAACGAATTTCGTGTCAGTCCAGGGTTCTTGGATTTAGAGGTAAATTTTAGACCTCATCTTGCTAAGTCAACGCCCGGGGGCTTGAGCCAGCCGACAACTAATCAATCAGCGCCAAAGACGACAGGTTGTAGAATTTGTCAAAACTGGTGGGGTAAACAACAATTAGTAACAATAACAAGAAAAAAGAAGAAATCGCAAACAAATTGTAGTGCGACATTTTTATAATTTTAATGAGAATAAAATTTTCTGTTTTATAAAATGAGAAATGGGTTTTGAGATGTTCCAAAAATCGGAGAACGTTAGATTATCATAAAAATAATTACATTATTATAAAAATAATAAGTTTTGAACGTATATCTATACGAGATATCACAGTAGAGGCGCTCCCATGCAAAAAAAATGATAGGCCTAGTCCTTCTAGTAGTGCACCATTCTTACTGTAGTAAGTAAACACCGTTCATCATCCTTTTTCATACCTATAGAATCTTTGCGGAAACATGTATACTTGCCAACAGAATCTGGATTCATTTAGTGCAACTGCACTACTACTCAAATTTTCGCATGCTTACTTTAACATCCAATGAAATTATACATATCTCAAAGCACAAAACCAAATACAATTGTACTGAGCACGTAAATATAGTTTAACTAAAAATACCACTGGATTTTACAGCAGGAAATTCGAGATTTCGAGCTATTCTATCAAAACGACAGAAAATGTAAGGTCAAAAAAATAACTTAGATCAAATAAATCTCTTGATGACTTATACTATTTACCCTATAAATAGGAAATCTAATGTTGTAGAGAAATTGTATCAGCTAGACTGGTCAGGAGTTAGCAAGCTTTCATGATTACATATACGTGGAAGTGCCTGTCGTAAGCTGCTTGGGGCGGGGCCAGAAGGGGGCTGGTCCGCGCTAAAAAGGGCGGGATTTTTGACCAACCACCTTCTACTTATGTATCAGTCACGTAGTTAAGCTAGCGTGATTTGCATACAAGGATTGAGCAAAAATGAAATCAATTGATTCAAATAAGAAATCCTTTAATCACATCACTATAAATCAACTTGCAATTACCCTGCCAACTTTAGAAATCATTTAGAATGAAATGATTTAGCAACAACGTCAGCGTGTAACATAAATCAGTCGTGTCAGGTAATCTATCAAGACAAAGTTACTGCTTGGACTGCTTTCCCTGGTCGATTAGCTGCAAAAGCAAACAGAGAGAGGGAAATTATGAAGAAGGTCCTTAAGAGAAATGCAGGAATCGATGGGGGAAATGTAGGGGAGAAGCGGAAAATATTGGTAAATCTATTCTTCGAAAAAATTCTCAACTGATTGCGCAAAAGGTCTTTACAGTGTCGGATGCCAGCCCGTAGAAAAAAAAACGCCTTTTATTCTTGAACAATATACATGATTTGGTGGTAGTTGGATCATAAGCGCATGAAAGTCGTTAATTGCCTATGTGGAACCATAATTTTTTTTAGTGCCTAGATTCTCGTTACTTTTTTTGATCAAAAACACTAGCCATAATTTTCATGCCTTTGGTGATGTTATGATGTAAAGTCATATTTTCAGAAGATCAGGAAGGCCACCGGAACCTTCGGAACTGTTTTTAGTTTATGGAGAAAAAAAGGAACAAGGAACAACATCGGAGAGGTGAGGCCAGAAAAGTCAAAAAGCGAGCAATTCATTTAACATATTTTTGAGACAATTTCTTCTATCGTTCTACAACTTCATAGCTAGTTGTGAAACTCCAAGCTAGCTTAGGCATTCACCATGGCACTTGCTTGTAAAAAATGAGATTAGTTTATGAATAATGTGGGAAAATCAAGCAGAAGTAAAAATGAGGCAAGGAAAAAAATGGTGTTTGAAGGTGCTACCTTGGAGACATTGCCGCAAAAGTAAAAGAAAAGCTGTATCGAATGAAATTATGACTGGTCGATATTCTGCAAGACTGGATTGTCCCAAAGTTGCAAGAAAAAATGAAGAAGCTGTTGTCTTCAGAAGATTCGACGAGATTTGAATGTTTTGACGTATTGAAAATAGCCTGAAATGGCTTTGAAATTCTACAAGAAATAGATTTTTCACTCGCATTGATAATGAACTTGTTTGTAATGTAGCTGAAGGAAAAAATGCCTCAAGCGGGAGAAGCGATAAATTGCATTGAAATTACTCAAAAAGAGGTTTAGGTGCTTTGTACACCAACAAAAAGGCTCGAAAAGAATGCCTAGCATTATTTTACGATTATTGAAGTAATGAAAGGAGACCACAAGGATAAGAGTAGGCTGTAAAGCTAAAAGAATTCTCTGAGGTTGGTCATTTGGTCTGTCTTCTGCCTGGAGTCAATAAATTATTTTCATGGAAGCAGGAAAATATATGATATGGTGTAGTAAATAATAAGACTGCCAAAAAGATATCTGTATTTGTTATCAGACGAATCAGAACAATGGTATTTCGACGGGTTCTTTTTCGATTCATGCTGGAAATAACTTTTACGTAAAAATTTGAAATTTATTGAGTAACGCTTTAACCCCGAAGAATTTATCATAACTCATAGAAATCCAAGTTCATAGTTCCACAAGTAAGCTGGTGATAGGATGTGCGCACAGCCGTTGAGACAAAAATTTGACGAGCATAAGAACATGAACCACAGAGCGACGAACGAGGAGGAGAAAAGCATGCTAAACCCATCATCATCGATCTGTGCCAACGTTTGTACGAAAGCGAATTCATGAGCTGAGCATTCTGACTTTGAAAATTCCGATGCTAACAGCGTCAGGGCGAATAGAAGCAGAAAAATGGTAAAAGTTGCCAATTTTCATGGAAGAATTGGAGTAAAGGAGAAGTATATCCTTTGGAGGAATGCCAGCAATTCGTTAGCTTATTGGCTCCTCCAAACGATGCTGATGGGGTAGATTCGCATCGTGGAATGTCAGCTCTGGTCGTGTTGTTGACCGAACTGACGTCAACGTTTATTTGTTTAGTATCGGCTAGAAAAAGTAAACCATCATGGCCGTTGGCACATTCACGCAGGCCACCGCCACCACCAGACGGAATGGACTGGCGAGTGCGGCTAGCAGGTGCTGTCATCCAGCAAGAAAGAACATTTTCGGAAAAAACTCTCAGGCTTGTTCCGCTTTGTGCGTTTGATACAGATGTAGCTGAGAGAGGACGTAGCACATTCTCAAATGAAATTTCTAAAGAAGCAAAAAAAGTCCGCACTGCAAAAAAGGAGGGATTTTGCGCTGAAATCTGTGAAAATTTTCGGAGTTTCTGCTATATTTTTGCAGTCGTGAGATTTCTCCAATTTTTAATATTTCTTGTGATTAACCAACCCTTCGTAAAAACAATCAAAAGTTGCAAAATCAAAAACACCAAGTAAAAAAGAAAGAGTGGGCTTATAAATCATGCTTCTTGATCCTGAAATGTCATCGAGATTCCCCGCACTTTGTTTTTTCGGAAGTTCCGCCGAATTTAGATTTTGGTAGCGCCTTTTGGAAATTTTTCGCTTTATTTTCAAAAACTGCTCTTCTTCTGAAATAAATAAATTGAGAGATCTAAAAAGTCTTTCGACAAACGTTTTGTTAAGATCCAAAACTTGCTACTTGTGAGAGAAATTTTGAGAGGAATTCCATTCTTCCTCCATGGTTACCCTTCTTATAGGAGACTACTAGCATAAAACTGCGCAATGAAGCCACATGAACTCGGTTCGTGAAATAGCGCATCGCATTCTCCTCCGAGAAAGGATTTCCGCCTGAGCACCGCCCATATTCGTCAATACCCTCAATGGTTGGTTTTTTCGAACGAGAACTTCGGCTCTTCCATTAGCTGCTCATTGTATTGCACCTTAATGAACTCATGCATAGCGCTGACAAGCTCGCACACGCGCGCAAAACTCGTTCACAATGCGAGAAAGAGCATCTAAGTGAAAAATGGGTGGCCGGCCCTATGCACTTCGGTTTGAGTTTCCATTTCACGGACAAAATGAACGAGGAATTTGAGAAGGTGATAAAGGAGGAACAACCACAAGCGAAAAAAATTTCTCTGACTCATGGGGGGTTTTGTGGAAATGAGCAGTGCATGTAGCAAGAAATGGAGCAGTTCCTATCGAGACGATGCACCATGATTCGCCTTGTCGGCGTGTGTCCTGATAAGATAAGCATCGATCGGCATTGCAAATCGAGTGTGTGGAAACGAAACCTTGTTGGGCACATTTGCATAGGGCCATTTGGTTGAGACGGGCACCACCAGCAAGCGAGGGGCTCGAGAGCAAACACCGAGACGCGACAAGACACCGACCGCACTCAGCTCATTTCCACTCGACGGCAATAAGCCGAACAATGTTTCTCGCACGTCGCCTGTTCATGTGCCAACGCCACATTGAAACCGAAAGTGCCAAGAGCTTTGCGGTGTCAGCGCGAAAAAAAAGTTTGGAATTGCTACAGCAGTCGCAAAACAGCTTAATAAACGAACCAGAGAGGAGTGAGCTTTCACTAAACGTGAATAAGCGCAAATAAAGGTGTGTCATAAGCTCCGCCTCTTATTTGCTTGCTGTTTGGCTGGTTAAGCTCCACCCCTCATCTGTTCGCTGATTGGCCGATTATCCACAAGAAGTTAAAAAAAACTATAATGTCCTTTCGCAAGTTTACGCTACTTTTGAGTCGACAAACAAGCTAAGCGGGATGAAAGTTTGTAGGGGTGGATTTTGTCAAAATGGACGGAGTTTACCTAAATTGCACCGAGTTTATCAGAAAGTTTGGGTGGAGTTTGTCAGGATGTTTGGGCGGAGTCTATCAAATACAAAACAGACACAGACTGCACTCGCGACAACCTACTCCTCCAAATTTGTAGAAATGTTTTAGGGAAATTATATCATAGTTCGGCTAGGAGTTCAAGACTTCTTGAAAGAAATTATAAGTTTGACTTCATGCAGAGGGTTCGTTTTTATGAGAGAATTAGGATTGTTGTTTTATTTAGAGGGTCGTTTTTTTCGATTTTTTGGCTGACAAAATTTTCGGCTTAACATAAAGTTAAGCTTGAAATATTCTCATGGTCCTTATTTTGCACAGAAACAAAATTGTGAGAATCTTTGAAAACTGTTCCAAATTTATGAGTTTTCTCGAGCGAGCTGAAGGTTCTGCGACAGTCTGAGCATTTTTAGTCGAAGGAATTCCTACGTTTAAAATTCATTACACTGAAGACAAGAGCGTCAAAGGCGCAAAAAGCGCAAAGCAACACAGCAAAAGGGATGAGTGAGTGGTGAACTACTCTTGCAGTGGAAGTAAAAACGTTGATGGATGACAACTGCCTGGATATTTGCGAAAAACTTTTGAAATTCACTTGCGCGCTTCAGTGCGACATCGAGGGCACACGCTGCTCGAAGCGGCTTTATTTATGAGTAGAAAGTAGATCTAGTTTGGAAAATTCTAGTCTTGAAAGGAAATGCTATCCGACGGGGACATGAAAATTTGTTTGAAAATGGGAAAACGTTGGTGCTACATTCGCTAGCAGTGCAGCTATCAAATTACTTTTGAAAATTGGGTAAACATTGCGAAAATGTAGCCAGCCAAGAAAACTCATGCAAGGGAGAAAAGATTTTTTTTTGAGGGAGCGAAGGGGAAGAAACTTTCTGTAATCTAAGAAACCCTCGAGAATGGAAGACTGAGTTTCAAAATCCTCGACTCAGTAGTTTTTGCTCAACTTCTGCGAAGAAACGAAAAAAACTGCATCTAGAAATTTACCGGACATCTGACACAAAATAATCAGTATCTCTCAACTGTCACAAAACACTCAGCAAATTTGGCCCTAATTCCCAAAATGGACTGAGTGGCTGAGGCGGATGTGGCTAGAGTACCCATCCCAAAGATGTAGAGCCTAAGATGCACATCTCCGCCCATCGCCCTAGAGCTCTAGCATTTGGTTTTTGAGCAAGCTCCGCCCAAAAACCACCGTGACCACGGTCATTTGTCAGGACAATGTCATATGTTCGCGGGTGTGACATATGACGAGTAGGTAAGATTGAAGTCGGGACAGGTGCTACATGAAGGTGGAACGGAAAGAAGTGCGCAAAGTCTTGAGGAAAGCCTAACTATATTACAGAAATCACGCTGACTACCGTAATCACGGTAAAGGGCAATGGATAGAATAAAGTAGGTTTGAAGGGCCTTTTGTCCTAATAAATTATCTTTATGAGCAGGGTTTCGAAGAGATTTAAGAGAAACAAGCGGCGTACACCTCTAATATCCGCTGAATAATGAGAAAACTGAACCAGGTGTAACGAATTCCTTTTTTGCAAAAATGGCACATGGTCAGATGGTTTGATGCCAAAGCAAACTGTAGTGCAATTCGAAAAACACGGGTACATCAGGAACAGATTAGGAAATTGAATAAAGAATTGATTTGATAGTGATAAAAGTCAAATTCACTTCGCATGTGCACAAAGCATTAAAGCGCTCTCCAGCTTCAAAATGATCTTGCTTGTTTCTTATTAAACCAATTGTGTTGATATCGTGTTTTATGTAAGAACCCGCGCTTGAATTCAAACTGATCTTAGGACAACATCTAACCAGCTGAAATTGTAGTGCAACTGCACTATCAAACAAATCGAGCTTTTGACGTCAATTAGATATCAGCAGTAACTCAACGATTGTCTGGCTTATAGGGCAAAAAGTACAAAATTAATAGCACATTAAGGTGCCATAGTGATAATTTCGGTTTTTCGATACAAGTTACAAGGTACAAATCTTTGAAAAATGGGAAATCTCCATTTTCCTTGCAAATTTTTCTTGCTCAAAATATTCTATTCTTGCCTTCTATGGAAGACTCTGCTCTTATAATGGAGGTGTAGAGGAATGGTCTCCATGGAAAAGCATAGAATATTAGGGTAAGAATGTTCGGGTCTCCCGGGAGAACTTTGCGGACGCATAATGGAGTTGTTTCAATAACTATGTCTACCTATTTGGGGGAGAAATGGTAGCCCATGAGAAACGAGAAGAATGTGGAAAGTATCACAAGAAAGCTTTC